AAAGCGTATCTCCACGCTGTCTTATTCTCCGCACTCCTTCCGACCTGGCTCTACAAATACCGATAGTCTCTGATCTCCTCCATGTCACCCTTAGATCCACGCCCGACTCGTCGTTTCCCATTCGTGCTCCAATCGAGTGACGACCTGGCGCGAGATGTATTTCGACGGTCTCCTCATCGTGTGTGTGTGTGTCCAATCCATCTCCATTTTCTTCGCAATATTTGTTAGTTTGACGATAGGTTTTTTACTGGTTTATTCATGGAGTTAGTTTCTGTTGTTGTTGTTGTTGTTTATGCTATCAGCCATCTGATCTTCATTAAGGAGCCAGTGAAGTTGGTGGCTAGCGGTAAGGACGCTCGCCGACTATGCACATGGTCCGGGGTTCGATCCCCGACCGGCGCACTCCTTTACCTCGCTAAGCCAGAACTAAAATCTGGTGAAGAGAAAAGGTTGGGCATGAGGCTAGCAACCCCATTCTGTAAAAATAAACACTGCTACAGAAACTTCAAGCCTCCAGCTTGAAGCCCTATGTTCCACTGGGAACGTGAAGGAATAAAAAAAAGAAGTTGGTGGCTATTGGTAAACGTCTACAGCTAAATACGTTTATTTGATATAGCACTAACTCGTTAAACAGTATTATTAACTGGATGACAACGCTCCTAGCACAACTGATTCCTCGTAATCATATGAATCAGCATTACCACACAACTGCCTAACTTGCTTTACATAATGGCTTTACTCCACCCTTCTGTGCACATGGCGATGGCTCAGCAGTAGGATGCTCTCCAGCAATGCATGTGGTCCAGGTTTCGACTGCCGGCCGGTGCACACCTTTACCTCCCTTAGCCGGTTGTAACTCCGACAAAGAGGGAAAGTTGGGCGTGGGTGGGGCTAGCAACCCATCCCGGAAAAATCAAACACCGCTGCTACTGAAAATTCAAAGTCGAAGCATGAAGCCCTATGCTCCACTCGGAAGGCAACAGGAACGAAAAAGAAATCCATGCTGCTTATTCTTGGTTTCAACTTTGTATATAAATTGGGTATTGATTGGACAGTATTTTGACTACGCGTGCTTTGGTGTTGATTCAATGACTAGCCAACCAGCCACCAAACACATGTGCAAAGGAAATGATGCAATCCTACTGCCCCCCCCCCCAATACATTACAAAAAATTGCAATAGTAAGAAAAACAATATACTCCCTATAGGGAGTAGTAAGACTACGTGTGGAGCAAGTTATAAAGTCATAATCACTTAATTGTGCTTGAAATACCATCCAGTTATATTAATACTGACATCATATCAAGTGAACGTATCTAGTCTTATTATTATTATTGTTCCCTTGGGTTCTGAGTGGAACATAGGGCTTCAACAACACAGCTCCACTTTGTCCCACCTTCTGCCGTCCTCTTCAGCTTGGACCATGGTTGCCCACAGTCTCTCATCTCCTCCCCACCACACGATCTCCTCCATGTTACCCTAGGACGACCCACTCGTCACTTCCCATTCGGATTCCACTCGAGCAATCACCTGGCTGGCGCGCGATGTCATTTGACGGTCTCCTTAATTCATGCCTGATCCATCTCCATTTCCTCCTACATATTTGATGAGCGATTGTTTCTTGGTTGGTGTTTTCCCACATTTTCTTATTGCTAATTCTTTCTGGCCGGCGGGTTGGCAATTTGATCTTCAGTATGGCGCCAGCGAAGGCAGCTGTTGATGAAAGTCTGCAACCTGTTGGAAATCCTTTTCGTTACACTAAGTGCTGATTTCTGACCAGTATAGAAGGACTGACTTGAAATTTGTGTTGAACAGAATCCGAATGTTGTTCGTTATGCTGAGTGAGAGCAGAAGATTTCCAAACTGGTTTCAGGTTGCCTGTCTTTCCGATTCTGACTGACTTGAACATCTTCATCTGTTCCACCATCCTGTAGTTGAAACGACGTTTCCTAAACATATCTCGTATGTGGTTATGTTGTACCACTGTACTCAAATTCTACACTTACACTGGAAAATGTTTGTTTGAGCTTAGTCACACCTATGTAGACCGCTGACCAGGTCAACTCCAGATGACCGAAACAACTGCCCAGTTTTTAGATCACACCTCGATATGGTTAACCACTAACCACCAATATAGGTGATGTAAGCGGTTTCCACAACTACTCATCTCGCTCAATCAATCAAAAGTATGCAGCTACAAGCATGTATGCTTGCTTTTTAGATGACCAGTTATGCTATCAAGTAAATCACAGATTGCAAAGTGAATAATTTCGGTTTCTGAAGGCTACTGTGGAAGTGGTGGTGAAATAAACACCTAGATGTGTGAAAAGGTTAAATCAATTCGCAAATCGCGAATTTCAGTGTTCTTTTGTTTTCTGGTGAAGTATTTCCTGCTCCTCAGCAGTTATACAAGGCTACATATTACACTGATTGTTTCTTCTTTTTCAATGATTCTACAGATTCTTGTGCCTGATCATCCATAGGGAACAACAGATACCTTCTCTAGGATTAATTGATGATTACATCTCTTCATCTCTGTCGACATTCTGAGTTTCTTCGGCATGCGATGTGGATAGTGATGCAGGATATGTAGTGAAATAACTGACGCAGTCGTCGTCGTTGTCGACTCAACTTTAATGAACAGTGATTGACTGACTACTAACGAAATCTCAGCATGTTTGTGAAAGGCTCGTTTAGGATTTGACAATGGCGTGGACTTGGTATCCATCAACTATCCATTAAAGGAGGTGTGCACCATACAGGTTAGGAAGCAGCTACATCGATCGAGATGCCTAGGACATGTGTTATGCATGACGATCTACAGCTTATCTCGTCAAAAAAAATGCTAGCTGACATCGGATTAGGATGGAAGAGAGTTATAGAGTATTTTATATTCATATGAACTGTGATCAAGATTTGACCGGATAGTTGCCGAACGAAACGTTGGAATTAATCATTTCAATTTCGCTGAGATTTTACAAATATAATTTTATATATTTTATAATTGTAAGAACCTGAAGAGAAATTATTGAAAAGAATATTCTTCGTTCAGAAATATATGTGATTCACATTAAAAAGGACAATTTTTCCTCACGTGACTTAAAGTGTCTCCCAATTATAATGAGGAGTATCAGTTTTTAGGTCGGACTAGTTTCTGTACATGATTTTCAGCGAGGTGACTGAATTTGAGTTCTTTTTGTGACTCACTTATATTTATCACCATTATCCGGCCTTTCAATCTTCTCCAAAAGCGGTCGATTCAATGAGTTTCGGTTCCATTATGGCAGTCGATAACTTTTTGCTAGAATAGTGTAGATGCTTACAATAAAACAGTCTTACCCTGATTACGGTATGCGATCTGTGCTTATTAATGGGGCTAAGGTAATGGTAGCTCTTGTTATCCAACGAATGATGTGCGTTCAGAGTCATCGGTGCGTTCGCCCTTCTGGATTGCTATACTTTCACATGGCCGACATTCACTGATTTGAAGCTTCCAGAAAGAAGCATCTACTTCTCATTATTCACGATATATTTATTGTTTCTCTCATATATGTGCGTGCATTATATTTCTATTGATATTTCTTTCTATCCCTTTGTGTGCTACATGGGGTGTGACATCTTGAACTGCTGCTACACTTTTCTCCGAAGTTCCCACAGTTAGTCTTGTCATCTTCCGGATTCTAAGCATTCTCATGAATCTACATCTGATTATTCTATCTGAGGTACATTTTTGTTTTGTCTCTTCTGAAGTATGTCAAATTGGACTACTGTACGATCAATGCGAAAATCTACATTGCTAGTTCAGTTGAGTTTCATGCCTTGGCATACTTTCTTCCTAACCATCCTTCTGTTGTTTATAATCTGGTCGATATTCACTTGTTTCCCTACGTTCCAAGTGGAATATGGAGAGGGAAGCTATGGCATTGAAGTTTTGGTAGCAGTGGTGTTATTCTGTTTTACGAGGTGGGGTTGCTAGCCTACCTCACCTAGCACAACTCCCTCTCTTCACATCGGTTATTTTTTTCTCCTTCACGTTCCCCAGTGGAACATAAGGCTTCAAGCTAGTGGCTTGAAGTTCTTGTAGCAGTGTTTATTTTACAGGATGGGGTTGCCCAACCTTTCCTCTTCACCAGCATTATTTCTAGCTTAGCGAGGTAAAGGAGTGCGCCGGCCGGGGATCGAACCCCGGACCATGTGCATGGTCGGCGAGTGTCCTAACCGTTATGCCACCGACTCACATTACATCGGTTATAGTTTATAAAATTGGGAATTCGCTTAGTGAGCTGCAATCACTGACTAATATGGATGACTAATCAATACAATCACAAAATGCATTTAGTTACCAAGGTAGCCAGAGATTGATTGCACACTCTTTCTGTATGCTGCACAAGTTTTGTTTGAAAAGAAGTTTGGTTGCAATTGTTTCAGCAAAGCGGACGGTAAATTCTCTGTCCTTCTTTGTATGTTTTTATATTTTGAAGAATTTGGAAGTCTCGACAAAATGACGCATATCCACAAGACGTGTAGTAATTTCATGTTGTGCAAATATCTGCTTCTCTTTTTAGATATAAGTTTTTTCTGGGATATAGCGGGAAAACAATGGATAGAAGCCTTCCTCCGTGCCCTCCTAATGTACTTGCTGCAGCAAGTGTTCTACAGGAGAAGTCAAGAGACTAGGGAACGGAATGTTTATTCGGAATTTGATATACACATACAAGGAAATTAGGTATACCGTGTTATTGAATGAGTCATTTGCACAGATCTTCCGTGTCTCCCGTATTCTGCTCTCTTTGACGTCAAATTTATCTCTTTGTCTTTCTGATATTACTATTGTGTGCTGATGAACATCTCTCTTAATATACTACTGATAAATCCTGTCAGTAGCACACTCCATAAAAGTGAACGTAAATGAATCAAAATAAATGTTGACTTTATTTGTTTGTTTATTTTCTTTCGTTGCTTATTTCTCCTAATCTATTGTATTTTATATTTCTATTTCAGGCTTTACTCAATAAATTTTTTGATTTCGAAACATTCGATGTAGAAGAGTATGAACATTTTGAAGTGAGTTGATGCCTTGCTTGGCTTTATGCTTGTAAAACATAATATTCATTGTAGAAAGTAGAAAATGGTGATCTTACATGGATAATACCGAATAAATTCATTGCGTTTTGTGGACCACATGCTCAAAGTAAATTGGAAAATGGTATGTGTCTCACTTTGTCCCGGGGTAACACATTTAAATCCAGCCATTTGTTGTATATTGTCCTCTGAAGTTGTTGTTTTTTTGTTTTTTTTTCATTCATCCCTTTTGTCAATCGATCTAATTCTGTCTGATATTCGTGTCTTTTTTTTGTTGTTGTTCACAATGCGCTTTCAGTGATTGAGTGTTTCACAGGAACTATGTAGATGAGGCATGTCTTCCCATTAAGTTGAAATTTCATTGGTCAACTTCACTGGATATTTATACGTATATTCATCAAACTGTTATAGGTGTTTTCAGTGTATTTTTTTCTTTCTAGAAAGACTAGACGTCATCTCTAATGCATATTAACTTCGCGGAAATCTATACTTACAGGGAAGAAAAAAGGCTATGCGGATGTTCAACTCCTCTTATTTTTCCTAAACTCTCCTCTCTTCACCAGACTTACAACCCAACTAGGCGGAGATTAGGGATAAAAAACCTCCTGCTAAGTTGACGACCATATTCTACCATTGGACCAGTGATCCATGAATTAGATACACTATCACAAATGCTTCTCACGGATACTTCGATTTATTCACAGCACAACTGCAACCTATAAAACATGCCTGAAGGAGAAATGTGTTCCTAAGTAATTAATTCCCTTAGTGGAAAGGCTAATCCTTGAGTGAATTCTTTGAATATTCACAAATATTCAGTTAGTTTTCAGTCGTACCTGTGCGTACAAGGAGGTAGCTTGACTCTACCAGAACCCCATGAAAGCCTTGATTCATGAAAATTAAGGTAGTAGACTAAACAACATTGTTTAAGTTTACAGCTCAATGTTATATATTGAATTTTCACAGTGCAACAATAGAGAGTCACATGATTTTGTGCGGAAAAACTGTAGTATATTGTGTGTTTTAACTAATATATAATTTATGTTGACCTGTTTTGACCTGCGACAGTTAAACTGATACAAAACTCCAGACACATTTGTTCCACTGAGACAACACATAAACTAATTATGATCAAACTACCAACCAGGATTATTTTGTACTTCAAAGCCATAAACGCTTCAGGAGTGTTGTTAATCACTGCACTTCAGTTTCACGTTTGATCACGAGTTGACAAACTCTGTCTTAAATGTAACGGGAAAAGCTGTTTTGCACTGAGATTTCAAGGTGGAGGGCGATGATTCGACAGCCTCAGGTGTTTTTCACGCGTACGCCCAAGCACACAAACACAGACACATTGGAACCTGTACGAACTAGCAGACTTTCACTAAATGAGATAGTCGACGAGTTAAAACTGACTAAATATTTGTGAATATTCAAAGAATTCACTCAAGGATTAGCCTTTCCATTAAGGGAATTTAATTACTTAGAAACACATTTCTCCTTCAGGCATGTTTTATAGGTTGCAGTTGTGCTGTGTACATGTGGTGAGAGCTGGATGTGAACAAGCCAAAATTGGTAGACTGCAATTTACGTCACTGTTGCGTCCCGAATCAAGGTCATGAGAAAAACGATAAGAAAGCTTAACCTTAAGGAACTCACCAACCAATCTCAGCGGACTTAACGTGTGCGAATAGGATTCGCAGACATATATAGCTTCACTTTCTGAGAAACGGTCACAAACAATGCAGAATAACCTTCAGTGGGAAAACAACCAGTCAGAAGACATTACTTCTCAGCTGACAATAATATACATAAAAATCTATAAACACCTCTTGATTTTCTCAATAAACAATCTGTTGCCTAGCCTTTGTCTTCTGTCGTTACAAATAAACCGAAGTATCAGTAAGAAGTATTTGGGATAATTTGCAATTCGTATGCCAGTGATCCAATGGTACTATACTCTCCGCCTAGTCGGGTCGTAAGTATGGTGAGGAGTCTGGATTTAGCGTTATGCTATCCACCCAGCACTCCATAAACGGACACCATTACTGCTCATACTGTAAAGCTTGTCGCTCTGTGCTCCGCAGAGGTGAAGGGAATGAAAACAATCTGTGACTGATAAATTCGCAAACATTTTGCTCTGGTCGTCTTTGTGATGTGAGTATCTGAATGTATAACTTGGGGATGGTGGTTAGGTAGTTCTTCGCTAACATCTAATTACAAAAGAAAATTACTGCCAGTAAGCTGAATGCCAGCATTTGTTATGAGTTTATAAATATATATATACAAAGCAGTTTATTAAGAGATAAAAGATAGGTAGGCAGGCACTCCTGGATTTAAACGCATTCGTTACTTAGTCAATTAGTTAGTCTGTTATTCTATCATTTAATGAAATATCTTAAATTGCCAGCCTGTATTCCTGGCTTCGTTATTGTTTCATGCTTTGTCCTCTTCTTCTTCTATTTGATATATCACAAACAGTAAAACAGTATTATTGTTTACTGGATGATAAAGTTTCGAACATAATTCATCATTGTTCATAATCACCTTATCAATTATGACTGCACAACTTCGAGACTTTCGTTTTATATATATTTTTTATTTCTTCCTACTCATCGTATGGGTGGTGGTAGAGCTCCCGTGATTCCCAGATGGACAGGTATTTAATCACTTTCATCACACAAAGAAAGAACCTCAGCAACCTTACTCAAAGTTCTTAACAATGCAGGCAGGAATAAAAGTGGCATTGAAACCCACCCACTCAATTAGAAACAAACTTTGTCGGTTAAAGGATCCTGTGGAGTCAGTTTATCTAATATGCTGTGCTTTAATGACTGTCAGGTCAAATACGTAGGTTAAAGTAGTGGAATGGGATCAGTCAGACTAGCAGAGTAGAAATCTGGAGTACAACTTAGCTGTAGCACTCACTATACTCAATTACACACAAGCATACAACAGGATGGGATAAGATGACAGATCTAAAATCTTATGTAGCAGAGTCGAGGGAGAGGTTGAGAACGGTAGTTTTATTTATTGAATCAACTGCAAACACGCGTAATAGAAATGAATAAACACCCGTCCATCTGGAAAATTATTCTACTCCCCTTAAAACCCTTAAGAAGGAATAAAGAAAACTATAAAATGAAAGTTTCGAAGTTGTGTAGTTATAACTGATATGATATGAGTATGAACAACATTAAATTGTGTCTGAAAATTTGCCATCCAATAAACAATAATACTGTTTCACTGTGTGTGTGTGATTTACCCATCTAATAGACCGCAGTGTGCCCAGGTTTCACACATTATATTAATTTGCATTATTCTATTTATCTCTCCACATTTAGGTTACCCTCTACACTGTCCAGAAGCCTATGTTCCGTATTTTCGTAAAATGAATGTGAGCACTATAATTCGTCTCAATAAGAAACTCTATGATGCTCGACGTTTTACTAACGCTGGATTTGCTCATTATGATTTATTTTTTACTGATGGCAGTTGTCCATCTGATCAAATAATGGATAAATTTTTAGAGATATGCGAAACTGTTCCCGGGGCAATTGCAGTACACTGTAAAGGTGATTTATAGTTTTTGTTTTGGCTTAAAAATGAAGTGTAGTTTATGTTGAATCAGTTTGCCTAAAGGTTTTTACCGAGTTGTTTCATTTCAAAAAGTTAAAAAGTCATAGACTACCGGGCCCCAGTGCGAGCCAGCGAGAAGCACCAACCACCCGCTGCTCACTTGGCGTATAATCAAAGAAAGTTCTTCGATTCATCACTGCTGATTCGGAGATTATGTCTTCATCCTCTCTTGACCTTAACTATTACTCACGAATTGAACCAGAGAAATACAGTGTCTAGTCTCCTTAAGCTACCACACTGTTGATTTCTTATTCATTGTAGGTTCTAATATTACCCTACTGGTATGCCGGTGGCTAATTCTGGTTAGTTCTTGTGGCCTTGTTAAAGTAGAAATGGCATTCAGCTTGAAAAAACAACAACAGAAAATTCACCGCATAATTGGATCGTACACATGGTTGTTTGTGTGTTGTTTCTATACTGAATGCATCCGTAAGAAATAAGAGAGAGTTTGTGATAGACATTGGTGCCTGTTTTGATAATCTGCACTTACGCATCAACTGCCAGCATATCCGATGGAAAAAGGGATACCTTTTATCAGAAACTCTCTCGTTTGCTTATATATATTGTATATTCACATCGCTCACCAGGCCCTCGGCTGGAATTCCAATGGGAAGCGACGAGGGGGTTGTCCTTATGGTGACATGGAGGAGATCGTGTGAGGAGGAGATGAGAGATTGTGAGCAACCGTGGTCCAAGCTGTAGAGGACGGCAGAAGGTGGGACAAAGTGGAGCTGTGTTGTTGAAGCCCTATGTTCCACTCGAAACTCAAGGGAATAATGGTAATAATAAATTGTAGCAACAGTTTTCAATACTCAGTTAGGAATGCTGAATAGCCTGTGATGCTGATTGTTTCCTATACTTTTGCTTAGATCAGCGGATTTCCTTATGCAGGATGAACTGCAAACATTAGAAGAGACATTGTCTCATTTGATCAACTAATATACGCGATTAGATCGTCGTCGAATAAGTTATTGATGAAGAGTGTGACGATGAGTGTATGATTTCCACTTCTTTTGGTGCGCATGTATGGACTCTTATTTTGCATTATGCCGGACATGAGTGTGTGCCTAAAACTTAAAGGCGCCAATGGAATGTTTCACGACGGGGAACTTAGTAAAGCCTTTAAAGTGGATATGAGAGTAAGACAAGACTGCCTACTATCCTCAACGATATTCTTGATTGTCGTGGACTGGATCATGTGTCGGACCATCTGTAGGAAATGAGGAGACGGGCATACATTGGTCTGAAAAAATCACCCTGAAGGATCTGGATTTCGCGGGTGATATATGTCCCATTTCAGACAGACCTGTAGGTGTACATGTGAAAACCAACAGGCTGGCAAAAGAAGTAAGCAGCAAAAACAGGACTCCAAATGAACATACAGAGGATAAAAGTGATGAAGACACCGAACCGACGACGACAAGCCCTAATAATCATCAACTTCGAAAAAATCTGAAGGCAGTCGCCTCTTTTAATTACCCAACCAGGCAGCTGATCAAAGACCGGTCAGAATTGAATTGTCAAAATGCAACACACAGGGAGCAAAATCTGAGTTTCTAACACCGATGTCAAGACGGTAGTCTTATATGGTTCAGAGACTTGGTGCTAGTGTCAAGAAAACCACTTCTAAGAGGAGCCTGTTGTGCAGTAAGTATACGGAAGGAAATGTGGGTGAAATTGAGCATTACGCTGAAGAGATTAAAAGCAATAGCTCACTCCAGTGTCTGGTGTGTGTGTGTGTGTGTTTGACTTGAATGAGAAGTGATAGATTAGGCATCCGTGGGTGAAATAGTGGTGATCGTGTGAAGAAGAAATGGAAGGTTGTGTGGGTAGTCGTTGAGCCAGTTAAAAATAATAGCAAAGAACAAGCAGGGAAATAGAGGTTTGTTACTCAAGGAGGAGGGCCTTTACCCTACTCAGAAACCAAAAGGATGAATAGTAATCATTTTAGTTAAGCTAATTTCGGTTTCGTGAAACAACTTCTCTTCAGATCGATTAAATAAATAAATAAATCGAAGTCAATCTTCATTTCCACCGGCATATTTGTTGGTTTGGCGATAGATTCTTGGTTGATTTGGCGCTTCAGTATAGAGCCAGCTAAGGTAGTTGTGTAGGTAGACGTCTGAGCATGCATACCTGACTGCAAATAAAATAAACTATTTCACCAACTTATCCAAAAATGTCCGACGCACACACACACACGCACCTACACAAGATAAGGTGGGACAAATTGGTGAAACCTGTTGAATAACAATAATAATATGAAAAAGTACAACCTTACGTGAGACATGTTTTAAAAATATATATATGTATGTATATAATTAATTCTACTGGAAAATATTTCTGAATTGTTTCTCAACCAATCCTTTTTATGAAATGTACTCAACTTTTTATCTTACAGTTAAAACACTGAATTATCTCAAAAATTATTGTTGTTTTTTTTTCAAAATACTACTACTACTAATAATAATAATAACAACTAATAATTAAACTGAACTGGTTTAGCTGGTCTCGGACGTACTGGTACACTTATCGCCTGCTATCTAATGAAGCATTATAAGTTGACATCACGTGAGGTGATTGGTTGGATACGTATCTGCCGGCCGGGTTCAATTATTGGACCACAACAGCACTGGTTAGACTTGAAACAACCTTTTTGTTGGCAGAGTGGTGAAAAATTCAGAGAGAAACAACGACAATTGGCCTCGGGTACAAATCATTTTGGACCGCATACCACTGCTACTACTACTGCTGCTACTGCTACTGCTACTACCTGTAGTAGTGGTGGAAGCTTTAATCTATTCGATTCTATTAAAAAAGGAAATGCGCTGTTTTCATACAGTGGTGGTGGTGACGCTTCTACTACTACTACTACTGCTCTGCATAACAATGATTCTGTAATCTCGCCATATTCAGAAAGCAGTCTTTTATTGAAAAATACCGACGCTAATGCAGTTACAAGGTAACCGTTTGTTTTGTTTTTTCTTTGATTAGATTATGTTTTTGGGTATGTCTTTTTAACCCCCCTTTCAGATAGTTCGTCAGAGAAACGACAACATCCATGTATATGTAGAGCTATGGATTGTCACCTCACACACACCCACGCACACAAATAAACCTCGGCCAGTTTACTGGCCAACTGGTTAAAGGGAATAGGTTTGGCGTGAGACTAGCAACCTCATCCCCCCTAAAACTTCAAGGCTTAGACATGGGACTCAGCGAAAAACAGTTATTTTGTAAATGGAAAACCTTACTAGCTCGCTAGTCTTCTAGCCAGTCTTAAGCCCGGGAAAAGAGAGAGAGTGTTTGTGTGTGTGTGTTGGGTATATGGGGTTAGCCACCCTTCCCCTCTGGAATTCACAATCAGTTCAATCGCTACAGAAACTTCAAAGCACAAGAAAAATACAAGAAGAAGACTAATTTATTCTCCACTGGAATTGGAGCGACGAAATTGCTCTGTGGATTTGCAGAAGCTTTCGAGAAGCCAGTCAGTCAGCCAACCGATGGGTCTTATTCTTCTTCTGTCGAGGAAAGTAGAAATAAGGATTAAGGATGCAGAATGGTCGCTACAATGCACGAAGCTGGGAAGAATGCCCAGATTGCCGAAGAAATAAGAAGATATGGCTTGGAAGTGCTAGGCACGACAAACCTTAAGCACTCTGAAACTACTTTACACGTCCACTATATTCCGCAGTATAAACAACAAAATTCCGTATTCAAGTATTGGTTTGTAGCAAATGTCGTGAATTGACAGAAGTTAGGATTCATGGGCTGGCCATTGGATTGGGTCTCAGTGGCTCAATGGTCTACGAGCTCGCCTTGTAACTAGCAGGTCCTGGGTCCAAACCCTGGTGGGTGCGTACTGATTAAGAGTCCCGAACTAGGACGAAAAAGCTGTCCAGTACTCCCAGCTGGTTTTCCAATGGTTCTGTAACCAATGTCAGCTCATGATGAAATCCTGTAAACGAAATTCAGTGTTTCACTACCAATGTTAAGTCAGTCGGACGGTTCGAAACTTGGCTCGTGTGTCACGAAAAGTAGCTCCAATGGTTAGCTTCAGAATTCCATCAACAGATGCCTCCTTCACTGGAGATCAGATGACCGGTAGAAAGTATTAGCAACAAGAAACTCTGGGAACAAACCTACCAAGAATATATTGCCCATCAAGTTGTTGAACAAAACAGAAAATTAATCGGACACACAATTACATTGCGCGCCAGGCTTGCCCTGCAGTGGAAGCCTAATGAGAAACTAAGAGTTGGGCGGGGGGGATGATATGACAGAGTTCGTGTGAGTGAGAGGACATTAGAGACTATAGGCACTCGTGGAGCAAGCTAAAAGGGACTGCGATACGTTGTCGAAGTCTTATGTCCCACTGGGAAGCGTAGGGAACAATAATAATAATCATAGTGTAACAACAGAAGACAAGGGCCAGGCAACAGATCGTTTATTAAGGAGATCAAAGCATATTTATATATTTTCATGTACATTATTATAGATTAGTTAAGCAAACAAACACAGTCTCCTGACTGGTGGTTGTTTCTCACTTAAAGTGAATCTTTCATCTCTTTGTGACTGTTTCCTGAATGTCAGATCATCTATATGTTAACTGTATCCGCCTACGCAAAGTCTGCTGTGGTCAGTTTTTGAATCAGTCTTTGTTCATATTTTCTCACGACAAATCTTGAAAAGGCAAACATTGAAATAAATTACTGTCTACCAATTTGGCTAGTAGACAGCTCTCATCACAATAGTATACAATATAAGTGAAATGACTGGTTGTATGTATACACCGGGTTTCAATAGTCTGATGGAAAGATGTTTCAGATACTGATATTTTTTATTTTTATTCAACTTACTGGTATTTATTTATTTTATTTAATCCTTTTGTGTTTTGATTGGAACATAGAAGAGCTTCAAGCTAGAGTACTGAAGTTTCAGTAGCAGTGGTTTTACTTCTGTGGGGTAGGGGGTGGCGGATTGCTAACCTGCCCACTTTTTTGGGCGCACAAGCGCCTAGAGTAGGTAAACGTGCCAGCCAGCCGAGAAACGAACCTCAGATCACATGCGCATGGTCAGTGAGTAACCTACCGCTGAACCACTGACGCTGAGCTTACTATGCACAGATAATATTATTCACAGTTACTTAACATTCTTTTTTCTTAAATTCTCTGTCTATATCCATAGATTCACTGACGCTTCAGGTGATCTTGCTACTACGCATCACAGTGCCATTTCATCGACATCTCCTGAGGCCTTATTTGAAAAATGTCCTGTTAATGATTACTCGAATCCACAACACAACCATGTGTCATTTTCTGTCGACAGTGCTACCAATTTCAATAGTAACTCAGTTAGCAGTGACGCTAAAACTGATTCAACTTTGGTTAATGATGTCTCTGCGACTACAAATAGCGGTGATAATAGTAGTCATAGTAGTAGTACTTCTAGTATCACTGCATCTCTCAATGAAACTCTCACCAATACAACTAGCAGGTCAACGTCTCATGCTGGTTACAGTATAATTGTGAAAAATGTCAATAGTTTACAACCATCGACGAAAGAAGATACACAACTGAGTATGTCTGAAGCGAAGACGGATTCATCTGTGTCAAAAACTAGTTCAGATGTCTCCTCCAAGTATATAAATCGTGAAGTTATCATCAATCCTAATCTGGTAAATAAACAGAAATTGAAGAATCCATGTGAGTTGTCTTCTGCAGTGCTTATTCCCTCACCTTTTAGCCTTCTTTATATGATAAAACTTGTTAACATGGCAACAAATCTATATATATATATATATATATATATATATATATATATATATATATATATGTGATCTATAAGAGATGAGGATGAGTGATAATCCCAGTGGGTGGATGATATGCGCGCTTACCTTGTTAACGGAAGCTCCAGGATTCGAACCCCAGTGGGTGCGTACTGCCGGTGATTTCCGACAACTAGGATGAAACAGCTGTCCAGTACTCCCTGATTTTCAACTGTTCTCTAAGTGATATCAATCCGTGGTCAAACTCGTGAAAACAAATTTAATCCTCACAAACCAGCTATAGAAAATGTTAACGATATTATTAAATGACAGGACAGACAATCTAAAAACAAGAGATGTACTTTTATATATAAACATACAATTTTATTTATTCATTTACTATTCATGTTGATGCCTGTTGCATGACTCATGATTGGACAAAGTTTAAAAACAAGAGTTGTTCCTTTTATATATAAACTTCTGTTATGTTAATTTCGATTAATTTCCGTGGAGAAGTTCGGACCAGATTGCTGAACGAAACGTTGGAATTAATCATTTCAATTCCGCTGAGATTTTACAAATATAATTTTATAAATGAATATATATATATATATATATATATATATACATTCATCACAGTACTGCATATTGACATACACATAATGGACTTATTGTCACGGTATGTGAGTACAATTATACACACCTAAATTTGACAATAATAATATTGATGAAATACAAAGAAATGTCTCATATAAACTCGTACATAAGATATAATTTATATGAACTGTGATCAAGATTTGACAGAATAGTTCTAAAATAATCGGGCGCCGAGTGAGAAGTAGACATTTGCAAAATCTCAGCGAAATTGAAATGAGTAATTCCAACGTTTCCTTCATTCGGAAAACTGATCCGAACTTCTTCCGGTAAATTAATTGAAATTTAACATAACAACAGAGGTTTATATACCTAAAAAGGACATCCCATTTTATTAAAAACTTTGTCCAATTGAATGAGATGTGATCAAAATTTGACCTCAGACTTCTCACAAATATTAGTCTACTTTTGTTAAACACTTTAAACAGATTGTACTTCTCATCAGAATTTTAGTGATTACGTCTAACTGAAAGTTCATGGTCATAGATAACCAAATATGAAAGTTATATCTGTGTATATGTGGTATACAATGGTGTGTGTGTTTGTCTAAGGGTAAACAGTTGTAAAACATTTGTTAGCCTCTCCATAAGAAGATTTAGACAATCGGGAATTTTATGCCAAGTATGATTAATTAGTGATACATATCCATTTCTTTTTTTTATTTATTAGTCAGGATTTGCCGTGCATCAGCTAACAAGATCACACCTTCGTGTCTGTTCAAACTGTTAGTATCTAGAAATTTATGCTTAAACGTATTTTCAAAATTATGGCGATTAGAACTAGAGTTTAGTTGAAACAGCCTGTCGAACTTATTGATTTGTCTTCTTCTTCTTTTTGAAAACTGAAGAGAAAATTTTTCTTTAAACTTGTTAACGATAGTCTTCAATTCTCGTGTAACCAAGACAGATAAAATTGCATCAATATTGGAAATTCACAGTCGAAATCATTTCGAATGTTTTTGATTGATGCCTGCTTCTTGACTCATATGAGATGTCCTTTTTTTAAATATATAAACCTCTGTTGTGTTAATTTCAATTAATTTCCCTGAGGAAGTTCGGAGCAGTTTTTCGAATGAAGCAAACATTGGAATTACTCATTTAAATTTCGCTGAGATTTTACGAATACAACTTTTACAAATGTCTCATAAGAGGTAGTTTGAACACTCATCACATAGATGAACACTCTGCTATGATTTTCAACTTGTACTTATCCTAAGAAAACTAACAGTATGTCGGATAAAATAATAACAATAATAATAATGAAAGCGTTGTAACGCGAAGGGATAAGGAAAGGAAGGGAAGGAAAATTACAAAGGTAGGATAAAAGTAGACTACCAAGTTAGATATAAACCTGACTACTGCCTCTATTTATATACAGAGATCCGGCCTCTTTAATCTAATTGATTGCACAGGCTTTCACAGAAAGCCAAGAGCATTTTAATTACCCTGTTTATTCATGACTATAAAGCTTATACTCAACATCACGGTGTGTAATCACATCCCAATAAACACCGTGTGATTGAGCTGCTTGAGGCGCCACTATCATGAGTACTAGAGAGCGAACCGACAGACGATTTTCCTTGCTCTGAATTAATATACACACATGTTAATTTGTTAAGGATCGATGTCTTATCTTTACTGCCTGTTGCTTGTACTATCTGCTTTATTGTATTCGTGGGCAACATATCACCTAGCTGCATAGAAGGTTCGTTTAATTGCTTTCTACAAAAGATATTTCACCAAGTGAGAAGGATTACCTCCTTTGAAAGGTAACTTTTCAAAAGCCATTTTCTTAGAAGCAGTCTTGCACATTAATTTTCCTTTATCTTTTCAATACTTATTCATAAACCTTTTCGAATGATCATTCCTCTCAAGTGACGTTGAGTATAAGCTTTAAAGTCATCAATAAGCAAGCAATTCAAGTATTGGTTTGTAGGGATTTGATTGATTACCTACAGGATTTCATCATGAGGCGATATCGGTTAGAGAAACATTGGAATACCATCTGAAAGTACTGGACAGCAGTTCCTACCGTCCTGATTTGGGACTCTCCAGTAGTACTCATCCAACGCGAGGGTTCGAACCCGGTATCTCCCAGTTACAACGCGAGTTCGTAGATCAATAAGCCACTGGGACCCTATCCAATGGCCCATGAATACCAACTTCTGCTAATTCACGACATAGCGCAACCACTAGCCAATGTCATTGTCGAGTATTTATCCTCACGCCCATCCTGCTGTACCCTATTGAGTTTTAACCGTGGGGGTGGGTGCGTAATGGTGAAGAGTCACAAACTAGGCCGAAACAACTGTCCAGCTCTCCTTGGTTGTTTCCCCAATGGTTCTCTAACCGATGTCAGCTCATGATGAAATCCTGTAACCAATAAGCAAGGTAATTAAAATGCTCTTGGTTTTCTGCTAAAGCCTGTACAATCAATCAGATTAAGGAGGCCGGATCTCTATGAACAAAAAGGAGACAGTAGTTAGGTTTATATCTATCTTGGTAGTCTGCTTTTATACTGCCTTTAAAATTTTCCCTCCCTTCCTTCTCCCTTCTCTTTACACTGTTTTTTTTCATAATAATAATAATGACTATTATTATTATTATTATTTTATCTGACATAGTGTTAGTTTTCTTAGGTTAGTGCAAGTCGAAAATCATACCAGAGTGTTCAAACTATCTCTCTCTCTTATGTGAGAGTTTAAATAAGTCACGTTAAATTCCTTTTTATTTAGTCCTAGTCCTATATGGTTTATATATCTGTATATATATTATGTATGTAAATTTCTGCGTATTTCATCAATATTACTATTGTCAAATTTAGGTGTGTATAATTGTACTCACATACCGTGACAATAAGTCCATTATGTGTATGTCAATATGCAGTACTGTGATGAATATATATATTCACTTATTCACACTAAATAATATCGTTAACATATGATTATCACTCATCCTCATCTCTTATAGATGATAGATGTTTGTATATATTTAATTGAATTTTAGATTTTCCCGTCGATTGATTGGACTGAAGTGCTCGGTCTCAGGTTGACATGTCGGCTTCTTGAGCAGATGCTTCGACGATGTCTGGGCATTTAATTGGTATTTAATTGGTGGATGGTGACTAGCAGTGGAATCCAGGATGCGCATTTCGTCCTATTTGGGACTCGTCAGATGGGTGTACCTGCATTTCTCAGTGAGTGATGATGTTCCCACCACCGGGGCTCGAACTCAGTGCTCATAGTTTCAAACGCCAAGGTGTTATCCACTAGACCACTCGGGCCACGAGAGCCACCTCTTGAATTTTAGATTTTCCCGTCAATTGATTGGACCGAAGTGCTCGGTCTCAGGTTGACATGTCGGCTTCTCATTGAGAAATGCACGTACATCCAGTTGACGAGTCCCCAATAGGACGAAATTCGCATCCTGGATTCCACTGCTAGTCATCATTTACTAATTAAATATTCATGTATATATGTTTGTTGAAATTGATCCTTATTTGTTGTAACACGCTATTATTGTTGTTGTGTTTGGTTTGTATTCAACTAGGCTACTTAAATAATTCATAGTTTTACTGATTATAAATAATGCAGTGACTTGAGTCATCGTAATCAGTGAAATTCAAATTGTGCCTTAGATTATCCTTTGAAGTCTAATAATAGTTAATTGCCTATATAACTGAAATACTGCAGAGACGTTCTTGGGGTGATATGTGTCCAACGCGCAATAAACTCTTCATATCCACTTAAGAAAGAAAGTAGTCATTTGAATGATCGGATACTGAAATAAAAAACACTTGACAGGGTAGAACATCTTTTAACGCATTTATTAACAATAGTGTCAATGAGTCACCTCCTACAAGATTTCTATTTTGTACCGAATGAAGTTTTGGCTACTAGGTTAATATTTGTATTCACTAGAATAGTAGTGCATGCACTCTACTGTGAACTTGACTTTTTGTATACATATGTGTTAAAACTGAAGGCGCAATTTGTATGTTTTGTAGAATATTAGTGAATACTGTACATACTTAATGTGTTGTGTGTGTATGTGTGTAGGAGAAAATGGGCTTGGATTGGGCATACGCTGAGAAGACCTCACGCCAGGCCATAACTCTGTATTCCACTCGAAAACCATGGGAACAGTAATATTAATAATAATAATAGCAATAATATATCTCAATCTATCTAACTTATCGTGTATTCGTCCACATTAGTATAATGTGTTGACAAATAACTATTAATCCCAATTCTAATACTCCTAAACAGTGTTAATGCATTCACAGTAAACTGTTGTTGATATTTCTATAATACTTTTCTTTATTTTCTTTTTTCAATCAACACGCACAACGCACACCTCACAACTGAATATCAGCTGGTAAATCGAATACAAAGACACGTCTCACTCAAGGCGATCAGTTGAATAGAATTAAGGCAATGCGACGTCAAACGCACAATAGTAATACTCCAAACTATAACAAAATAACTTGTAGTTATAATAATTTAATTGACAAAATGAATCGTGCATCCAGTGGTCCAATAGTCTGTAATGATGACCAGTCAATGTATCGTATGATATCTTCATGTACTACTTCATCTTTGACCAATATACAAGATGTTATAATGCCTCAGTCTAAATTAATCCAGTCATCTAGTGCTGACAATTTTAATATTAACGTTGTCTATCCAAATACTAAGAATGATGAACAACTTGAAACAGCCTCGCCTGTAGATGCTAGTCATCATCAAGATCCATCAAGACTGAAGTCTCCACACGCTAAATTAACTTCTCCAATGCCTACTGGCCCATTACGGTTGTCACGACATTCGAATCGTCGGTCAACAAGTCGTCATAACGGTTCGATTACAGTCAAAGTGAGGTGAGTCAGTACTGCAATCTCCTGTTAATTTTATGTAAACTACATACATACATTATTTTTGTTTTTAACTTGTTGATTTACTTGAGTATTTATTTTATCAAATGGGACGAGTTGTTTCCAATCGAGGTAATTGACTGTTCACAATCAACAATTATTAGTGTTATATTTTGTTACTTAAATTATTATTATTATTGTTCCTTTGGGTTCATAGTGGAACGTAGGGCTTCAACTGCACGCCTCCACTTGCTTCTGTCTTGTGCTGTACTTTTCACCTGCATCCATGTTAGTCCATACTGTTTCAAATCTTCTTCACACGATCTCCTCCATGTCACCCTTGGACGTCCCACTCGCCGCTTCCCTTTCGGGTTCCACTCGAGGGCCTGGCGCGCGATGTCACCACCCAGTGGCTTCCTCAGCGAGTGTCCAATCCATCTCCACTTTCTCCTGCATATTTGTTGAGCGATTGGTTCTTGTTTTGTTTGTTCCCATAGTTTCGTGTTGGTGATTCTTTCCGGCCATCTGATCTTCAGTATATAGAACGAAGACAGTTTTTGATAAAGTTCTGCAACCTGTTGGAAATATTCTTTGTGACCCGCCAAGTTTCTGATCCATCCGTATAGAAGAACTGACTTGACGTTTGTATTGAAAATCCAAATTTTGTTGTTGATGCTGAGTGACGAAGATTTCCAGATTGGTTTCAGGTTGATGAATGTGTTTCTCGCCTTTCCGATTCTCGATTTGACATCCTCATCCGTTCCTCTTGAAATTGAGACAGTGCTCCCTAGATAAGTGAGAGAAGTAACTTCTTTCGATTCCCTCCCGTTGATTGTGATTGGCGCTGGATGTTGCTGATGCTGCTGTTGTTGTTGGTTGGTTGGTTATTTTCATAACCTTCATCTTGTCTATGTTCACCTGGAGTTCTATTACTCAAATAGGTTACTTAAATAGTTGATGTACACAGGCAGATTATCTTTCAGTCATTTTAATTATATCCTATGTGATTATTTGAAAACAAGCAACAAAGGTTAATAAAGCAGGATGATTTCATGATGGATTCATCAAATTTCGGCAGAACTCGTCGGCTGAATACTCTACATACACGAATATATATATATATATATACTTTTGAAATTACATTGGGAAATATAAGACTGAAAAGCAAATAAACTACATTGAATTAGTCATTCAGAAAGGCAGGTGCGAATGTTTTCCGGGTCATGTTCAAATAGATAAGGGGAGTGGTAGTATGAGATATTAAAATTAAGATAAAATGCATTACGCTTCAATTGCATAACTTAGATAAACAATTAGTCATTAGAGAATATGACAAGAATTGCAAACAGAGTAATATCAATAGTAACAGTTATAATAAAAATAACAATAATAATAGTGTTGAAGTGAGTTAAGATAATGCTACTGGTAAAGGATAGTTTTTAAATGAATCAATAATAATAATAAGTAGAATAATAAGTAAAACGTATTACCATGGTAGATTCAGAGTGATGACCATCTCCTTTTGTACACAGAGACGTGGTTTATAAACTCGAATTGCACAAGCCTCCTCCGCAGTCGCAAGCATGAATGACTTGACAGTGTCGATATCATGTCCATAGTCCACAAGATGTTTTGTTATTGAAGTTTTTGGTACTTTGACTTCAGCTGTTTTCAACCACTTTGGCAAATGCCCCATCATGCGAGTAGACAATCGCATTTCTGTACGACCGATGTATTTACTTCCACAAACACACTCGAATTGATATCCGCAGTTAGAAGTGTCGAGGATTGGCGACTGGTCTTTCCCGTGTTGTTGAAGCACTCGCTTAGTGGTGTTAAGGAAAACTAGTTTTGCAACATAATAAGTTCTCTTGATGACTTCATCGAGTCTTCATTTGACTACTTCTTGTACATCATCTCCTTTGAATGGCAAACTGATATAGACAGATTTCTTCGGAACTGTTTGGATAGTTTTGCAGGGGCTCATTTCTTTAGAGTATTTATTAATGAATTTCTCAGGATATCGATTCTTAGATGAAATATCCTTCAGAGCCTTTATTTCATGCTCGATAGTACTGTCTGAACAGATTTTCCGTGCTCTATTGAACAGTGTTCTGACTAAATTCTTTTTTTACTGGATTGGAATAAAGCTCTTGAAATGCATGTACTTTCCTGTCGATGAAGACTTCCTAAATATGGATCTTTCTTTTGTGCCATTAGTCCTTTTCGCGAGAAAAACTTCTAGGAATTTAATAGTGTCATTTTCTTCGTGTTCTATTGTGAAATTGAGATTCGGGCGGTATGAGTTGAATTTTATCAACATGAGATTATTATTGTTCTCTTGAGTTCCGAGTGGAGTATAGGACTTCAACAGCACATCTTCACTCTATCCTGTTCTCTTCGGTCGTCTTTCGTCGGTCCGACTATTTTATCTGTAGGCTTTCATCTGCTCCCTGTCCGCCTAGCACGGACTACACGTTCCACGCGTTGTGTTTCCCATGTGGCTCCCATTCCAACGATGACCTGAACTGTGCTCGTGATGTCATTTTCCTCAGTATGTGTGTGTCTTACGGAATATTTGTTGTTGACTGGTTTGTGGCAGTGCAGAGTTCTGTATTGTCAATTCTTTGGGACGGACCAACCATTTGATCTTCGGTATGGAGCCAGTGAACGTGTACAGCTGCCTGCTGGAAATGATTTTTGTGACACACACCAAATTTCTCACCCATATATTTTAATTTACTGTCAGTAGCGCATAGCACACAGAAAAGTATCAACAGATAGATATTACATGCGCGATACTGCTGATCGTCGTCATGATTTTTTTTTTCTTTTTTCAAATTTATATGTCTTAAGTCATAATAATAATAATAATTTACTTTATTCCAAAAACAGTACTTGTGATACAGAATGGATTTTTCAGCATTAATCACAACAATATTGCATCTAATTTCCTCAAATTATAAATAAAATTAATCACACAGAAAATTTTCCACATTTACAATGGGGGTAATGTCAAAAACATGCAGCATTTAAAATGGAAATAATAATAATGTTAACAGCTAAGGTAATAATAATAATAATACAAGTGTAAATTGCCGTGGGCTTCTTTCACACAGTATTGTCGATGCGGTATAGAAATCCTAGCTAGCATGTTTAAAACATTGAATATAATGTTCTCTTTAGATGATATGGTGAGGGGAAAAACAAAGATTACAGCAGTCATAGAGATAAGTTGGTGTTTGCAATTATGAAAGTAAAAAAAAGAAGCAACAGGATCATAAATATAATAGAAATAATAAACGTAAAACTTGAAGTTATATAAGGATGGATGGAGGAGATTGTTTATTTACTAGATGAAAAAAGGTTAGTTAATTCTTGCCTGACACTATTTTCATCACATAAAATACGTGCCAAGTATGGTATCATAGAATTTTTATACTTAGACATGCGAGCATACAGTTTTCTGAAGTTACTTCTTGTTCTACATGAGGAGATGCAAGCTGAAAGCTGAGGGTAAAGTGGATGCTCCAAGTCAGACAAAATCCCTTTAGCAAATTTACTGCACGAAGTCAAGCGCCTATCGACAACGACGTTAACTATGTGGTCCACTGGGACACCACTCACCCTAATGACAGTCTTCGGCATTCTACGAATTGTGACATAGTCCTTTTTAAGCAAACCAGGAAAGAATAAGGGTGAACAATAAAGAGGAATAGGTAGGAGTTTATGAACTGTATGAACTGTAAGAGGAGGAGGGGTTGAGTTATACCCGAGTGCCTTAACTTCTTAATGTAAAATGTCAGGCGGAATATTTTACTGGAAATCGCTAATGCATGGGAAGACCAGGAGAGATCAGAAGAGTGAATAAGTCCGAGATACTTAATTTCTGACTTAATTCCTATATCATTTAGAAGGATTCAGTTTGAAGAAGATGTTTTTACAATATTTCTTTGATATTTATCGTATCATTTGTGTATCTGTGAATGTGTGTGTGTATATATATGGAAATATCAGAAATTCATTTCCAAATTCTCATTTACACATTTAGAAAAAAAGACAACAGATTGAGCGCATTCCTTTTCAATTAGCCGTTCCTCAGCATCATCGGCTCCTACACTAATATTATAGTTTATTACATCAGAAATTTTCACCAATCAATTGGTTAGTTTAGTCCATCAGTTTGAGGTATTGTGTAGGGTGGGGGACTTAAATTAAGACGCGAAAAGTCATCAAAGCATCAACTGACTAATAGGTTGTTAGTAACAAGATATCTAAGTTTTGAAGGAGAGGAATTCAAGATTAGTTAATTCTTAGGCGTTGGCAACAAGTTGTTGCATAATCAAGAAATTCGTAAAATAGCAATGATGACTAAGAAAAGTAGCCTGACCCAGAAGAATTACGCAAAATACAACCACGTTAATAGAATTAGCTAGAATTGTAGACATAATAAAATAACAAAGTCAAAACATAATTACTAGGGGAAGGGAAAAAACCGTTTTCAAAAACATTTTAATCCATATTATGTAGTTGGCCATGACAGAGAAAGGGGCCGTAAAAACTTATTTTGAACTGACGCACAGATTTTACTTGTTCAGATGAATTCCGATTGCCTCCGCTGTATGTGCAAAAGTCGTACTCGTAGACCATGCGAGAGGTTGAGTGATATACGATAAATAACCTTAAAAGCTTTGTTAGAGTCGATTTGATGTCCATTCTCGACGAGATGAGCTAGTATTGAGCTGCGTATAGCAGCTTTATTCGAACGTTTGCAAAAAAAGCAAGATGGGAGGAGGTGGTCAGAAGTTCAACGATAAACTTGCTTGATCTTACGCCCTATGTAACATGCTCTGCAAGGGCACTTAAACTGGTAAATACACATGGAAGAGTCGAAACAGGGCAGTCTGTTTTTATTTCTTGAACTAGGTATTGGTCAGCTAGTGAATAAACAGCACAGCATAGCTACATAGAAAGTCTTTTTGAAGGTCCTTCTCAGACGTTGTGATGAGATCTCACTATTGACATCACCCGTGATTTATAACTTTAGGAAGATTGCCTTTTTGGGAATAGTCGGCAACTTCGACTTTTTACTTTCTGAGTTCATGTGTTTGTTTACGAATTTACATGGATGTCCGTTTATACCTGATAGATCACGAATATTACAGAGTTCTTTGTTCACCAGTTCCTTATTTGAACAGAGAACCAACCAGACATCTAACCGAATCACTTTTGTAATGTAGAGAAATGAACACTCAGGAAGTGGAAAGATGTGTAGATACGTTAAGGCTACTAGCTGTAATTTTGGTGATTACTACGAGCGATCATGTATCCATTATCTATGTCTTCATTCTTGTCTAGTCTACAAACTGGTGAATACTTGATCAAATTACCTATAATTAAATTTTCTGCATCAAATGATTGGTTTTATTTAATAATTTAAACGAGGTATATTTTTCATTTAATTCAATTTTGACATTACCGTTGACCTCAGGTTGACCATATCACCTCCTTGTGATGATCCGTCGACGATGTCTGACAATGCAACTTTAAGTAGATTGGTGGATGGTGACTAGCAGTGGATGGAATCCGGGATGCACATTTCATCCTCTGTGGAACAGACATCGTCGAAGCGTCTGCCCAAGAAAGTGACATGGCAACCTAAGGCCGAACACTTCGTTTCAGTCAATTCAACAGGAAAGTCATCCAAACTGAATTCAATAATAACGTATACCCGTTGAACAAGGGACGCGGTAAACCTCGAAACCTAAGTGACCTAGTGGATGACGCTCTGGAGCTTCTGAAACTTTGAAGGACTGGGTTCGAGTGTCATTTTGGGGGTGGGGTGGGGTGGAGGGGGAACACCACGACTCACTGACTGACTGGAGAATGCAGGCACATTCATTCCCAAATAGGGCGAAATGTGCACCCTGGATTCCACCTATTGCTAGTTACTATCGACAAAACTACATCAAGGTGTATTCTTTTCAACTGTGTTCTTTCCTTAAAAAAAAACAACCTAATCGTCATTTTGTATTCATTTATAGAAATAAATTTGGAGTTAAACGTACAAAACCTACTGTCAATGTCTTCTCTGATAACATCAATGATGACAATAATAATGGAGGAGGCTTGAGTGAAGTGAATGACAAGTCGCCGGCTAACTCATCAGCATTACTATCACCGTACAGAACTGGTCCACCAATCACAACAAACAATATCTCCACGTCTATGATAATGATGCAAAGTAATAATAATAATAACAATAATAATGCACCACTACCAATGAAATCTACATTTGTGAGAAGGAAAAGTTCTCTAGGTAATGTACCCTATGGTGTATTCACTACTGCCGGTAACAATACACAGAGCAACAATACTCATAACAATGCTGTAAATAATAATAGTAATAATAATAATAACAGCTCAGAAAATGCCAATTCGCTGAATAACAACACCGTAAATAACAGATTAAGTGGATTGTACACCTCAAAATGGCTTCCACAGTCGTCTACAGTATCACCAAGTAGTCGAAATAGCTTCAGTGAATTTTTAAATTCAGTCATCGTGGATTATAGTGAAAAGGGTATTACTCATAACACTACCACTAGTACCAGCAATAATAATAATAACAATAATAGTAGTATTGGTATTAATCATAACAATTCCACGTACAATTTACGACGACAAGCTCATCTGGAACGCCAACAACTCTATGCACAAAAACCACCTGAACTGATACGACAGAAGCCACAAACTCATTCGTATAAACCGAAATCAGTGAAAGTCTTGTCACCGGATAAAACACAGCAGATTTATTCACCTCAGTGTACTCCAGTTCCTCTGGCTTCCTCTAATTATAATAATAATAATAATACACTGAAATGTTCAGAAACAAAGACAATTCGTCTGCCTATGTAAGTTATTGTTATTGTTTTTGCTTTTTTTTTCTTGTTCGCCAATATTAGTAGTACCTCACTGTGTGTGTGATGCTATTTAATTAATTTGTTGTTTGGCTGTCTGTCTGTCTATAAGTCCGTCTATCTTTGACGCATTTATTCCCAATTTTCGGAGTTTACATGGTTAATATATGTGTAAAACTTGAGCACTGTGGTAGTAAGTAATTCCATATTAGTCTGTTTATTAGATGTATTACACAGTGAAACAGTATTATTTATTGGATGCCAACGTTTCGAACATAACTTATTGTTCATAATCTCAACATCAATTATGGTCACACGACTTCGAAACTTGAGTTTTATAGTTTTCCTTTTCGTCGAAGGGGTTGTAGTAGAATTCTCCAGATATCTGGGACAGGTGATGAATCATTCCTATTACATGTATTTGCAGTTGATTCGATAAACAAAGCTTCCGTTATCAATATCTCCCTATACCCTGTGACATTAGATTTTAAAACTGTCATCCTATCCCATCCTATTGTGTGGTTGTGTGTAACTGCATGTAGTGCTGTAGCTGAACTATTCTCTAGATTTCTTATCTTATTCAGGTCAACCAATCTAGATTTTGCTAGGTTTTTATACTCGGCTAGTCTGACTCACTGTCCCTGTTCTACTACTTTGACCTATGTATTTGACCTGACAGTCATCTCAGGCAGGCTGTTAGATAAACTAAATTGTTTTGTTATATCTACTCCACAGGATTGATCGTTTAACCGACAAAGCTTGTTTCTAATTGAGTTTGTGGTTGGTTTGAATGCCAGCCACTTTTATTCCTGTTTTGTTAAGAATTCTGCGTAAAGTGTTTTCCGAGGTTCCTTCCTTGTATGGAATAACTACTGATGATTTAGATTCCTTATTGTTGGTGTTGTCTTTCGCATGTTTGACATTATTATTATTATTATTATTATCACAAGTCGTGTGATTATAATTGATATGATTATGAAAAATAAATTTTGTTCGAAACGTCATCCAGTAAATAATACTGTTTCATTGTGTGATACATCTAATAAACAAACTAATGTGGAATTACTTACTACCAGAGTGCCCTACATAGGATTCTGAATAAAGCAGGAATTACAGTGGCATTTAAACCTACAAAGTCAGTCAGGGACTAGCTCTGTAAGTTAAAGGACCTTGTTGACCCAATTAGACAAAATAATATAAATTACTAAATGCCTTGCAATCACTGTGATTTAGGTCAAACTAGTAGGCCGGGGGTAGTCAGACTGTCGGAACATAAGAATTTAGCTAAGCTAAGAATGGTTGACCAATAAGTAGTAGATAAGTAATTTAGGCAAAAGCTCAGCGATTACACTGCTGGAGTCCCAACGCATAACCTTCTGGTTACAATTCAAGCTCGTAGACCATTCATCCCATGAATTCCAACTTCTACTAATTCGTGGTTTTAGCGTAATCATCAACAACCACTGTCATCGTCTGGTGTTCGGTGGACCCTACTGGTCACGACTGCTGACTAGAACTCCCTACAGGAAACTTCGTCCTGTAACCAGTCACTAGCCAGCATCAGCTCAATTTTGAAGAGTTCGTTTGCAGGAAGTTGATTTCTTGATTACCACGTATGGTGTTAAGCAGATCACATACTGTGATCTAGATAATTTGAGTTTACAAGTTAAAGGCAAGTTCAAAAATAAAATTGGCTTTTTTCAGTAAGCTGTCTATAGAATTAGATGACTCATAACTTGTATGCCAGTTGTTAGTCAACGCGCTTGCTGATATCTATCTGCCCCTAACTATTCAACCACATTTACAATAGTGTGCTGATATGGCTTATTGGTTAAAACAGTCGATTTTAAACAAATCGATCCTGAGTTCTAATCTCACTCCTCCAACTACTTCGGCCTTGGCAAGTGGTTAGTATCCATGAGTACTCACATAGTGATTGTCTGAGCAATATCACAGATCATACATTTAACATTGATGAACTTGACTGTGCAATTTAACGCAGTTGTCCTAATGTAAACGTGAAAGTGAAATGAAAGTTTAAATGACGTTAATTACTGCTTAGTGTCTAGTCAGAGTATTTGTTACAGTCGGACAGCAGGTCAATCGTCAGCCCGAGTATCCCAATGGTAACGCCTTTGATTGCTCAGCTGAGTGACTCGAATTCCAATCTCACAAGGGCAATGAGTTATCCTTCAAGACACTGCAGATACGCCTTGCTGACTGATGGTGAGTGCCAATTAGCACGAAAACTAGGTCTAAGCAGTGCTTACTGCCGACTACCTCCAACTATCTAATAATAACAACACTTTAGAGTCCACCGCCGTGACAAGCCGCCTAGCATAGTGGCCATATTGTAACCTTGACTGATAGAATTCAGTCTGCGCCAAACAAAGGACTAGACCAGTGACATTAGTTACTATCCAGTGTCAGGTCAAAGCTGTTATTGTGATGGAAGGAAACAAGAGATTTGGTGTTGGAATGTTTATTTGAAATTTGATAAACACATATAAGGAAGTTATGTATATCTTATATTAAAATCGTTATTTATACAGATCTTTCGTGTTGTACACCACTTCTGCCCTTCGCGTGTGTCTTCGTCCTCTCTTCGCGTCTCCCACGTTTTGCGACAATACACTGGTTGGCTCATTTCCTCTCTCTTTGACGTGAAATCTATCTTTTTTCTATTCAACATTTTTGTGAGCTGTTGAACGTCTCTTTATATGCTACTGATAAATCTTGTCAGTACTACAAACCACGTTCATCCCCCTGTCAAATAGTTTCGAGGGGAGCTTCTCAAACCTTTCTTGTTATGCCTTGTTCGTGGCTTCCTTATCCCACTGCATCCATTTCTTCAGTTGGCTGTCGTTATCCCGTTTCTGCTTATTTCCTCTTTTGTTAGTATGCGCAGGACTACCTCTCTCAATGACAGCGTATGGTCCCTCCTACTTGCGAGAGTTTCCGTGAACCTGGCGCTTATCTAAACGTGTACTTTCATTCTCTACACTTTACGTGATCTCCAACTTCAAACGTTATTCATTTCGTCTTCTCTCTTTGTTCAAATTTTTCGGCGTCCATCTTCTGTTAATGCTTTACATTCCTGACGGCTTCCTCTCCGTTCTGTTCACTTTCTCGTCATACTACACTCTTGGTGCAGTGTATTGGTAGTCGTGGTGGTTTCTTCTCTTTCATAAACCAAGAAGGTGACTTCTTTCTTGTTTCCTGGGTGGACGCACGATGTACTAGTAAAATCAACAGAAGCTCTGTCTCTCAGCTACCTCCCTTCGAGGTCAGCCAGTCGTTCTTTATTATTATTATTATTCCTTCACGTTCCCAGTGGAACATAGGGCTTCAAGCTAGAGGTTTGAAGTTTCTGTAGCAGTGTTTATTTTACAGGATGGGGTTTCTAGCCTCATGCCCAACCTTTCCTATTCACCAGCTTTATTTCTGGCTTAGTGAGGTAAAGGAGTGCGTCGGCCGGGGATCGAACCCCGGACCATATGCATGGTCGGCGAGCGTCCTAACCGCTATGCCACCGACGCAGTCGTTCAATGCACGTTTATTTCTTTCTGTCAAACCATTCGGCTGTGTATGATATGGTGTTGTTCTAATCTTCTTTATACCTAGATGTTGCAAACGGGATGTAAAAATTCTTCACTTTCCAAAACAAAGACCCTGATCTGTCAGTATCGTCAGTTGTACACTGTAGTCCTTCAGTGATGTGTTGTCTATTATGCTATTATCGTGGAGAAAATTTTCTTCGATGAAATCCTTTTCGAATAAAGTAAACATATATTCTAAGAGGAAAAATAAAAATTTAAAAAAGAATATTTTCATACACTGGGTTTGCAAGTGAAACAATTTCCACTACTCTGTCATGAGAAGTATCAACTGTGTGAACACTATCTGTGTGGTATTTATATGCATCAACAATTTCGCCGCTGAAGAACAAGCAAGTCATGTGTTGTATTGATTTGCAGCAGCTCAAAAGATATGGAATATACCTTTTCTCATGTTTGTGTGCGTGTGTATGTGTATATGTGTATATATGCACCCGCGAGAGTTAGAACATGCCGAAAATTAATCCCGCTGACATTTGCAGTAGACATTGTCAATTACTAAAACATAGCTCGCACGCAATGTTATATATATATATATATAAAGTCGTTCGCTAAATATGGTACTTTGTTGCATGTTTCACCTCAATTCTTATTAAAATTAGATCTTCCAGCTGTATTTACCGGTGACTCAGTATAAATTCAACAATCAGCTGATCAAAACTACTGAATAGTTAGAGTAAACTGAGATTATCCAGGGTTTATTTTGGAGATTTGATCATCGATTCATGATATCACTTGTCCCAGTTTGAAACTCTTCGCCAGTACTCACCCATCACTCGGGTTCGAACCTAGAACCTTCCGATTATCAGGCAATCTGTCCAGTACTCCCTGCTAGTTTTGAATGGTTCTCTAACTGACATCACCAATCCGTGATCAAAATTAAAAACAAAAAAAAACAAATCAAATCGTTGAAATTGATCTGAGGTTCGCTAATGACTGGCTATAGGACGAAGTTTCCTGTAGGCAGTTCTAGTGAGAAGTCGTGACTAGTGGGTTCTATCTTGTCGGTCGTCCGTGAAGACATTGCCTGGCGGTCGCGCTAAAATCACCAGTTAGTAGAACTTGGAATTCATGGACTGGTCATTGAGTCCGGTTCAAGTGGCTGAACGATCTACGAGTTCGCCTCGGAACCCAAAGGTTCTAGATTCGAACCCCAGTGGGCGCGTACTCCTAATGAGTCTGAAATGAGGACAACACTGCTCTCCAGTTCCTCCTACTGGTTTTTAGTGCTTATCTAACTGCTGTCAGTTTGTGATAGAAGTTATAATTAAGACATTTTTTTAATGTTAACATATATTTTCACCTTGGTGAACACTGAACCAGCAGTATGAAGGTCTACAGTGATATTGTAAGAATAAATATGTGCCTCAGCAAACGTTACATTTTTGTTGTAACGTTTGTTGTGGTACACATTTGCTAACTTTATTCAGTTAACAGGGGACATTTAGTGCAACACGCACGTGATCCATATATGAACACAATTCGAGTATGAAAATAAGTCTGTTATGTTTTAGACAAACTAATGGTCGATGGTGGCATCACATACCTTGTGCTAACAGAATTTTGATGACGTCAGTTATTCCACTGTCTGATGATGTTTGTTGTGTTTTTGGTGTGTGTGTGTTTTTTTGTGCTATAGAATGACATTTTATTCCTTTTAGACAATTGCATTTTAAATAAACCCTTTATAAAATTGTTTATTACGATTATTATTATTATTAATAATATTATTATTATTCGATGTCATATGTTATAGGATTATTTTGAATAAGTGCCATTGAAGTCGACCCAAATATGTCAGTCATAAAATCACTGAAAATCACGGAGAACCGAGATGTGTCGTTATTATCACGAATCGTAGTTATGTAGACATATGTATATTTATGGGTCATGCATACGTTGAACTGAGAAAAAGACTGTTGAAGATATCTAAATCTTTGGGGATAATTTATGTCCAGCGATCAAATGTGTATAGGTGGGTTTGAAGGGATTTGATCGGTTACATGTGTTTGATCACGAACTGATATCAGTTAGAGGACCGTCGGAAACCAGCACTGGAGTACTGGACAGCTGTTTCGTCCGCCTACTTTGGGATTCTTCAGCAATACTCATACACTTACCCACTGGGAGTTAGGGTTACGGCGAGCTTGTAGACCATTCAGCCAAACTAGGGAGGAACAGCTATCCAGTGCTCCAGTCCTGGTTAACAGTGGTTCTCTAACTGACGTCAGCTCATGATCAACCCTTATGTCTAATGCCACACAAGCTCGAAGAATATACGACAAGTGAAATCCAACAAGTTGGTAAAAGAGACAAGGGGGGGAAGACAGGACTTCGAGTGAAGATAGAGAAGACAGCGGTGATGAAGATACCTGACTAACAACAGCAAGAATCAATCGCTGTCAATGGGGGAAATGCAAAGAAAGTTACCCCTTTTAATTACCTATACAAGCACGCGACATGGATGAAGATGTCGAAAGCAGCCAGCTAACCAGGCAGGATCGAGAAATCAAGACAAATCTTCATTACACTGAAATCTATGTGGAAATCTGCTGCATTCAGTATAAGGTATAGTGAGTGCTTCTATATGGTTCAGACAGCTGGTTTGTCAAAAGATGACTACTTCACACTCTCATCAACATCTGCTTTCTCTGTCTCAACACTGAGAATCGATAGGCGGGTTGAAAGGATGAAGAACATGGAACTCTGTAATTCAGCGAACCAACCAGCAGTCTACTCCCAAACCAACAAATATGCCGGAAGAAATGAAGATGTTTTAAGCGGACACTAGTTACTGACAGCATAGTGCTCTATCAAAATATCCATTACAGTCCTACAGGGGGTGAATCGTCAGCCCGAATAGCTCAGTGACAAGGTGTCTGACTACATCACTGGGTGACGCGGGTTCGAATCTCACAAGGGACATGAGTTCCTTCAAGGTTGTAGATACACCTTGCTGACTGATGGTGAGTGCCAACTAGCACGAAACCTGAGTGTAGGCAGGGCCTCCTGCCGATCGCCTCCAACCATTTAATATCAACAATTCGTAGAAATGCAAATATTTCGAGCACATACTGAATAACATCACTCACACACACACACACACACCAGGCTTGCTCTCGAATGGGACCCGAATGAGAAACGATGTGTATTTGACGTGAGCCAGTAGTATATAAAGGGGGCATTCATGAGCACATAAAAATAATATCAAATAGTGAAGAGATACATTTGACGTCAAAGAGAGAGGAAATGAGCCAGCCAGTGTATTGTTGCAAAACATGGGAGACACGAAAAGAGGACAAAGACATACATAACACAATACGCGAAGGGCAGAAATTCTGAGCAGATGACTATTTTCTCATATATGGGGTACATAATTCCCCCTTAAGTGTATGTCAAATTGCAGATAAACATTCCTTTACCAAGCCTCTTATCCTCTACGGTTACACTATGGGCTTCCAGGTAACAGACTGTGTGACACATTTATAAAAAAAGGGTATTAACGAGCTCTATAAGACACAGTCAGCCATGTAGGGAAATTTGAGTGATTAGAACAATTTGGCAAAAAATAACTTTGTTGTACAGTCGTTATGTGTATCTAGCAAGCGTATAAAAGTCCTCTGATGTCTTTCTTCCCCTTCCTCTTCTTCTTCTTCTTCTTCTTCTCATGTTATCTTTATCAGGACACAGTTGAACTATCAAGAACCTTTATTCACTCGCAGTAACTTATCAAGCGAAATCAACAAGTTTTCTTCACCTACAAACTCGAATTTGGCGAATTCCCGGGAACCCTATTTTACACGATCAGTTCATGCTCAAGCATTGCATAATTCTATAACAGAATTCTCTGATGTATTACCTCGACCACAGTCATCTGATTATTCTAGTACACCTCCATCGTATATATCATTACCGTCGACATCTCAAAATGTCTACACAACAACAACAACACGTAATAATACTTCATGCTCAAATCAGTCATCATTACAACAAGACGACAACGATGACGAGGATGTTGAATCGTCAAAACCAAATCAACAAATTGGTCTGTCGTCGGCTTCACTTCCGTCAAGATTTCGTTTCCGTCATTTGAATGGAGCCAGTACACCGACGAATGATCAAAACCAGATTAATGTAAGTCAACTTGTTTTTGTTTTGTTTTTTTTCTCCCTGTATATTCTCCTCTGAAAGTGTAACACATAACTTGCCTACTTCAACTTGAAAAAGGCAGGATAACAACTTGACTTTATCTTGCCTTGCTTGAAGTTTTCCGATTGTTTTAATTCTCTCTCTCTCTCTGACACACACACACAAAAGTGCCTGCAGTCTGAAAGCTTTCCTGTGTCTCGGCATTGCAGAATAAGTCTAGTTTTCTGTTCAGTAATAAAGCTGTATGATGTGAAACAAACAGATGTGAATGATTGACTGATTGAGTTTCAGTGTTCCCAGGGGAACACACAGAACTCCACGAGCATATTTCCGTTTCATCCTATTTTCTACAGTCCTTTTAAGTTGCCCCCCCCACACACAGATTGCTCATAGGCTCTTATTATCTCCTCGCAGTCACACGATCTGCTCCATCTCACCCTCCAACCAACTACGTTCAACTCGTCCTTTCACATTCGGGTTCCATTCGAGCGCAAGCCTGGCGCACCACCTGACCTTCATTGTGGAGTCAACGAAGGTGGCAGCTGGTGATAAAGGTCTACAGCTAGCTGTTGGTCACGCTTTTCGGGATTCACCCCCCCCGCCACCTAGTTAGTTTCTGACACATGTAGAAAGGTTTGGCTGAATTAACATTTGTGTCGAATATCCGAATCCTGTCGCTTATGCTGAGACGGAGTGGAGAAGATATATTCAAACTGATTTCAGAGTGATGAATACTTCTCTGTAGACTGAAATGAGAATTTTAGGGAAGCTGGATAATTATTAAAAGTGAATGAGAATAATTTTTTTGGCCATATCACCAGTAGTCTTAGACCAACTGGTTCTTAGCATATGCTCCCTAAGTGGCTGACTCAAACCAACAGTCAAATACTTCGTAGATTTGATATGACCACGCCTAAATCTTTTCCAACTTCATCTTCGATAACAAAGCTGATGGCTTGGCAGGCGTAGCACATCCCTTGGTTATATCAATCGATACCCCCCCCGCGTCCTTCACTAACACTCTACCTCTATCCTCATAATTATTCAACATATTATATCAGGCAACACGGGAGGTAGAACACAAACACCTATAGTCAAAGACAGCTAGTCTCTTCGAGTCTTCCACTTTCAGTGGCCATGTCTCACAGTAGTCATGAAGAGCAACAGCGATCAGGGTCTGTATTATGCTAGCTCTTGTCTTTCTCTCAGTTATGAAATTTTAGAGGTCAGCGTTTCCTCATACTTGTACCAACTTCTGACGAGAAAAAAAGAGCAATAGCTTGTTTGAATTATCAGCCAAAAAACTAACTGGCTAGCGTAAACACCCACAACATGATTTACTTGACAATAATTGAATTGCTTGCCTATACTGCAAAGCTGTTTCATCCTAGTTTGGGAGTCACCGGCATTACGCACCCGCCGGGGCTCGAACCCAGGACCTTCTGGTAGACCATCTAGCGACTGGGACCTATACTGGCTGACTATCTGACTGATTGTTTTCTACATAGGACTTTGAACAGATGTGCAGCAGTTCGAGTCGCCACACTCCCTCCATGTGGCACACAAAGTAAGAGAAGAGAGTAAAAAGAGATTCAAAAGAGAGAGAGAGAGAGAGAGATAATGAACTCAAGTATGAGGGAAAAAGAATAGCAATATGGAAGAAGAAGAAGAAGAATCGAGTTTTATTTGATATGACAAATGGCAAAGACTGAATGCATCTGCTCTGTCATTAAGAACGATGATTTTGAGGCAGCCATATCACCACGAGTTGTCTCCAGTCTTCATTGGTTGTTACCATCCCGAGGACCCAAATCAGCGAGGAAGTCTACACTTGCCTACGTGGTTGGCTTGCTGGCTGACTGACTTAAACTAATTGTTGTAGATTTCATTGACTGATTATGCCGTGTTCTTGGTTTGACCATCACTAGCTCTTCTCCAGCATGATCCATCCTATGTCGGCTAACACATCATCCGTCGAGGAAGGTGATCGGTAGCTAGCAAGGCATGTGTAACACATGCCCTAACCATCTCACTCCACCGATGTAACTGCTTCACAACCTCCTCGTCGATTGACTTTCCTCCCTTACCCGACAGTCGACCGATGCCTAACCTCAATGCCTTCTTATACGGCTAATCTTTATTCAGAAAGTTTAGAACAACACATTTAAGCGAACAATATTGTTGTTTTCAATTAGATCTCATCAGGCTTAACTCTAATGTACATACATAAGTTTACAAATAAAAATTCAAATATAAACCAATCATGGTGTTTTGTCTATAGGATAATAAGATGGTGAATATAAATTGTGCAGTTAGTCATAATAGTAGCAATAATAATAATAATGGTTTTATCAATGATAAGAATGAAAAAGTGAGGTGATCTGTGATAACACGAACAACGAGAAACAGCATGATTGAACAAATGTACAGGTAGAAATAGTAATCGATAAAGGCTAGTAAAAACAAATGAACCGATTAAGTAATGCTAGATTGTAAGGAAAGTAAATGAAACAAGTTTTTAATGAAGATGTGATAAGATTAAGGGATGATAAGAAAGGGGTTAAAAATATGAACAAGGGGTGGTGTAGAAGACATTAGTTGGTTATGTCTTAATAGGCCAAGGGAGGGATAATGACTGCACGAACTTTTTTTGAATACATAGTTTAGGTTTAATAGTTCGAATGCCTATCGCCTCAGCTGTGTGCGTGCAGTAGACGAATACGAAGTCTGTTGGGAAGATTCGGTGGGATACGATGAATTACTTTGAAAGCTCTCTTTTTCTCCACTACATGACCACTATCAACTCAGTGTGACAAAATTGAGCTACGAATTGTTTTTGCCTGTCCTTTGCCAAACCACGATGGGAGATGTTCACTGACACGTTGGCTAAGCTGTCTAGTAGTACGCCCAATATAACTGTCACCGCAGGTGCAAAACACTATGATTGGTTTATATTTGAATTTTTATTTGTAAAGTTATGTATATTAGAGTTAAGCCTGATGAGATCTAACTGAAAACAATATTGTTCGCATAAATTTGTTGTTCTAAACCAAGTTTAGAACTATGTGTGTTATACAACTATCCAGGCCTGTTATTCCGTGCGGCTGTTGTAGGATGTTGTTACTTGTTAGATGAATAGAGCAACAGTTGAACTGTGCAAATTAATCCAGAGAGATGACCATCTAACTTTACCATTGATTCACAGCTGAAATAGTCCAATCTACTTTGTTTGTTTGTATTTTTGTAATTTATAAATTTGAAGAATTCAGGTGATACATAGATCTGAAAACTGTTCGTACACCAGTGCAGATGCATTCATAACGTTTCTGTATTTCCTTAAATCTGGAAAAGTTTATTTATTTCTTTTCAGTTATTATTTGCTGTATCCAGCAACTTATTCGCTATCTGCTTCTTTATTTCTTCTTTACTGTGCTTCTGTGTCATAAGATATTATGTTACTTCTGTCTAAAAATATATACTATCACTTCTTAGGCTTATTATTATGATATGTTATTATTTCCATGGCTTCCGAGTGGAAAATAAGGTTTTGTCCTTTCCCCTGAAGTTCTCTTCAGCTGGCTGCACGATTGCCCAAAGGCTCTCATCTCCTCCCAGTCACACGATCTCCTCCATGTCACCCTCCGCTCAACAACGTCCAACTCGTCGTTCTCCATTTGGGTGCAAGCCTGGTGCGCGATGTCACTCGACGGTGTCTCCTCAGAATGTGTCCCATCCATCTCTATTTCCTTCGGAATATTCGTTGCTCCAACTATAAAGGTTCTTGGTGGGTTTGTTCCCAGAATTTCATGTTGCTACTTCTTTCTGATCTTCACTATGCAGCCAGCCAGTCTGCAAGTGGTTGTTGGAAATGCTTTTCAAGACACTGTCGCCAAGTTTCTGACCCATATATTGGAAGGACTGACTGACGGATTTAACATTGATGTTGAAAATCCTAATCCTGTTGTTTCTGTCGTGGAGTGCGGAAGATTTCCAAACTGATTTCAGAGTGATGAAGGTCTCTGTTGCTTTTTACGCCCCTGGCTGACTGTGATATCCTAATCCCTGCCTTCTGACTGCAATTGAGGCGAGTTGGCTTAGATAAGTTCAGGGAGTGGATTCTTTCAAATTTTATTCCATTGAATAGTGACTGGCATTTGTTGTAGTTGGATGGTTATCTTCATCACCTCTGTGTTCACTTGAAGTCATGTCTTCTGCCAACTTGTTGGCTTTAGTGTGTAATTCTTAGAATCTATGTGACATAAGGCACAAAATATCCGCGAAGTTCAAATCGTTTAGAGTCTCTATAATTTGAAGTAGGATAGGGTCACCAGACTGACACTCATTCTCTCCCCCCCCCCCCCAATTTTTCCCGGGCTAGTGTACTAGCGAACTAGTAAAACTAGGCGAGTTGTAGGCTTCTTTTAGCTCTCTGCAATAGCAATAGTGTAGTAAATAATACCGACAATAGCAATTGTACACCTCCGTCTCTCTCACTCTCTCTATGTAAATATACATTGTGCTTTTGAATTGTTGTCTTATTCAAATCTACAATCCAAAGAATCACATGTGTGCACGAAGTGAACAAGTAAGTTTAATGCAGACTAAAATTAGGCACAATTATTTCACAGTTTCTCCATTCTCACTTCTTTTCTTTTGATCTTTGTGGGTGTTGGTGGGTGGTTAGTTGTCAGCTGTTCAACATGTGACCTTTATTGCGTGTGTGTGTGTGTATGTGTGACTTGTCATACAAATTTAATTTTCTCTTGTTCAACCTTTCTCTCTCTCTCTCTTACTCTTAACTGAATTTCTCCAGATTATAAAACGTAAACGTATTCGTGTGAGTTAGAAATTACAGGCATCCTCTATATGTGTATATATGTCTGTGTGTATGTGTGTGCGTGCCTGCGTGCGTGCGTGCGTACATAAACATGTATATAAATTACTAGCACCCACCACCACCAATACAACAACAACAACAACAACAAATACCACCACTGCTGCTGCTGTCACCGTGGAATGGAAAACAGATTCATTTGTGGTGAATGAATAAATGAATGAATACACTGAAATCATTATCCCGACTGGTAAATGATGTATGTCAATCGTTGTGTACACATGTCTATCTGTATGTATGCTTGTGTCTGTGTGTGTGTATGTGAGTGTCAATATGTATTCCTCCTTTTTATTCGATTATGCAATCTAGTTGTGTCGGTATACCGTTATGCATGTGAAATAGCTGTGTTGGTGGTGTCCTTGTTGTTGTTCTCGTCATCGTTGTCGTCGTCCTATGTAGGTATGTGTGTGTGTGCGTGCGTGCGTACTATTGTATAATAAATTACAGTTATGACCACACGTCGTCATGTATCATGATAATCATAATTATGAACATGTTTTCGTGTGATTGACTCCTTTCCTTGCACAAATAAGTTTCTAAATGGCAAGTTATGTTTATCTATCTGGCTATGAATACATAGCTATATATATATGCATACACACTATACGTTGTTTGTGTGTGTGTGTGTGGGTGTAGGTGTGTGTTATTTTTCCGTTTACTATAGAAACGTATTTAATAACACAAATACGAATGTGTGTTGTCATAGTATTGGCTGTTGTCACATTCATTCACCTTAATGTTTTTTTTATGTATCTCACATTGTTTGAAATTAGACGACGAGATGGTGGAGGTCATTCTGTAATCAACAGAAAACAATGGGGAAGCATTTTCAACTCACAAGTAATACTAGTACAATTGATGAGTTTTCTTAAAACATTTGAGTATAGCACACACACACACACAGGAATTTTTAAGAAAAAGCGTGATCAGATGGTTGGAGGCAGTCAAACAGGGAGGAGCAGCACGGCGTATCTGCAATCTTCAAAGTGAAACTTATTTTGCCTCCGTGCTGACTGCAGTAAGAGACGTGATCACCACTGACCTCCTGTAGAACTCTATTGAACACTAACTAGCGTCACGCGTCTGGTCCCTTGTTTACTGCAGACTGAATTCTGTTGTCAGTCAAGTTTGCAATATGGCCGCCGTGCTAGTTGTTGACTTGTCGACACAGTGCGTAAGCAAATTTGAATCGATGCTGTGACAGGTAATTGAGGACTACTGTGAATTATATAGAGTAATATTTCACGCATTTACGAGAAAACTTCACTGTTTCTATTGATATGTAAGAAGTTTTCTCTGTCTCTCTCTCTCTCTATCTCAGTCTTTTGCGTTCCCAGTGGAACATAGGGCTTCAAGCTGGGGCTTTCAAGTTTCACTAGGTGTGGTGTTAATTTTTTTCCTACGGAGTGGAATTGCTAGTCTTTCAGGCAAGCTTCCATCTGGCTAAGCGAGCGTTTTTCCAATTAAATCTAACCTTGAGTTTCAGTTTACAGTTTTATTTAGGCTACAGTGATAGACGTATGACATCAGTTACCGCCTAGAGTCCAGTCACAGCATCCATTACAGTCTTACAGGTAGGTCAATCGCCAGTCCGAATATCTCAGTGGCAACGTCTGTCAGCACAGCACTAGGTGAGACACAGGTTCAAATCTCAGAAGGCAGATAAGTTCCCCCCCCCCAAGATACTGCAGATGTAAGCCTTGCTGACTGGTGAGAATGCCAACAAAAGCACTAAATCTAGGCCTAGACAGGACTTCCTGCTGACTGCCTCCAATCACCCAGTAGCAACAATTCTGAGTGCAGCATAATGGTAAGCCACATAGCCTGTTGGTGGCCATAATGCAAATTTGACTTGATAGAATTCAGTCTGCAGCAAACTAGTGTCCAATCGAAGTAAATTCATTTTGTGTGTAAAGGTGATTTAAACTCCCTGATTGCTGGCTTGGGCTTCCACAAACTTTAGGATACACTCCAAACGCGTTGTATAGATAGGTTTAAAAGACGTGTGTATGTCCTGTCTCTTTAATATGTTTCGCAATAGCGCAGCTAGGTCGTCGCCTGTTCTCACCATTACTGGGTTCTGGGGATTCTGCTTGCTTCTGAAGCCATTTAGGAATATGTTCTGAAGTCAGCCCTTACTTGCAGAGGTTGATGACCCCTCCCTCTTATGTATGCGTGTCCACACGTACATTCAAATTGGTAAATACAATGGACAGTGACATCATTTTTCGCATGTTCTAAGGACTTAGATGGATATATTGGCTTCGTTTTCTCAATTATTGTAATATTAGCTGCATAAAAAGTCTTTCTAACAACAGCGTTAAATTATGCAATGAATAGGTAGGTCGTCTGAATGACTTTCTCTGCCTAGATAAGTCCTGCTCTGAAAAACTACAGGTCAATACCTAATACCTCCGATTCGAAAAACGTAAGTTCATTTATTTTTAAACAATTTTATTTTATCACTAGAAAAACAGAAGCTATTGCATAGAAACATTAAGATACGACGATACGATCGTCAACTTTGATTACTTATAATGAATTTAAGCTGAATGGAACCCAGTACTATTCAGGGTATACATACATTTTAAGCATGGGTGCTGTGCATTTTGTTAGCGGTCCAAATGATGTTTGGCTGTTTTAGCACGTACCACATACCTCTTCAACTTCAAGAGTAAAGCTCCCGCAACCAATACTGAGTGATGATAATGACACTGTTGATAAAGCTACTGGCTAGTAACTAACCACATAATGTATTTCCTGGTTTGGATAGTTAAATTGATCTAGGATCTCATCATGAGCTGACATCGGTTGGAGGACCATAAGGAAACCTGAGAGTACTGGACAGCTGTTTTCTCCTAGTTCGAGATTCTTCAGGCGTACGCATCCAGCCCACTGAGGTTCGAACCCAGGACCTTCAGGTTACAAGGTAAGTGACCTCGTAGACCATTAAAGCCACTCACCAGGACCCAATCTGAAGGCCAGGCCATGAATTCCAACTTCTACCAATTCACGACACAGAGCGACCACTAGCCAACGTCTTCGGCGAGTATTTGTCCTCACAGCCGACCTACTGTACCCCACTGGTCACAACGTCCCACTAGAACCGAGGTGACTAGCTACCTGAATAGGATCAGTCGCAATTTAGCACTGACTTGTGCTTGCACTGTGTCGTAAATTTGCGGAAGTTGGAACTCACGGATTCGTTATTGGATCGGATCCCAGTGAATTGTTGCTCTACGAGCTCTTCTTGTAACCGAAACGTCCCAGGTTCGAACCCTGGCGGTGGGTGCGCACTCAGAAGAGTCCGAGGCTGAAGTGAAACAACTGATTGTTCACTATTTTCAGGTTTTCCAATGGTTCTCTAACCGATGTCAGCTCATGATGAGATCCTCCAACCAATAAAAACTAGTTGTTGTAGTTTTCTGGACTAAAACTAATAATCGTATCACTGAGACTGATGTACATTAAAAGGTAGGCAATGTTGTAATTGCAGTCCTGCGGTAGAATGCTCACCAGCCATTCATGTGGTTCAGGTTTCGATCCCCTGTCGACACGCTTCTAAATCTCGCTTAGCCTATAACAAGCTCGATAAAGAGGGAAACTTGCGGATAACGTCACCACCACTCGAAATGCAGAGGGAAGTACAATAAATAAGTAAAAATGTTATAAGAACACAATGAAACCGTATCGGTGCAGATTTTCATTCATGATTTTTCTTTTTTCTTTTCATTTCATAAACACACACACACACACTACCGTGTGCATCGCTTGCTTGTTTACATCGGGATCGTAAGAAGATTATGCATTCATCGTATGCATTTTATTAATGTACACCTCCTGAATGTGAAACAAATCCACAACACTGATGAAGAAATTGAAAAATGAACTTTTTTGATGATGAATTACACTGATGAACGAGAGAGAGAGAGAGAGAGATGGGGGGCTGGAAACAAGCTTGCGAAACTCCAATATACTACTTATTCATATTAGGCAAGTATTCTTTGTAAGGCTGTAGTTGTGCATTTTTGAAGACTTAGTGTCACTTGACAAAATAAACTAAATTCCTCTCTCTCTCTCTACGTGTTTATCACTTTACCTCACCCCTCACTCACACACATACACACACACACACGCAGACATACTTTGGTATAATCACTTACTCTCACGTGCTTAATTTTGACTGCTTTTCAGTTATTCCCTGTATTAAGTCAAGTCATTTGAGTATGCCGCAAATGATGAAGTCAGTAATGTCTACTTTTTCTACTACGCCACACTCACGTCTTTCCCAGTTTAGCAGGAACTGGTATTTAACTCTAACCTTATTATTATTATTATTATTGTGACTATTGCCATGATCTGGTTACTTTCTGCAGCCATCTTATTGTCGTATAGTTAGTCATTTTATTGCCGTTGTCGTCATTTTGATCGTTGTTCTTTGTCTCCATCTTCTTCCCCCGCCCCCGCCCCGCATCTCCATCTTAACCCACGCAATTTGAAGCGCCTTTGTGTTCACTAGGAGGAGCGATCGCAGCAACCAGTCTGCGCCTAATCCTATTATGTTGTATGTGCGTGTGTCCATTGTGTGTTATACTCTGCAAGCACAATGTGCACTACAAGCATTTACTCACTCTTTATTCCGCTAAAATGCCTGTTGTTGTTTTTTTCTTTTCTTTTCTTCATTTGTGTAGCTGTGTTATTTCATTTCGCCTGCTCTATCTATCTATCACCCTGATTACTTTATCCTTATTTTTTATTTTATTATATTATAATATATTTATATTTCTCATCACATGTTTTGCATAGTTTTTATCCCATTTTGTTCAAGCTCAAAGATAAATGTGCCCCCTTTTTTCTTACAAGGACAACAACCTCCCCAACCTCCTTTGCCTCTCTTTGAGTGGTGGTACTTTTGATAACTAGTGATGAATATTGTATTCAGTGGATTTGTCTAGTTCAGTTGTTTGTTCGCTTGTTTTTTTTCAATGTAAAGAACGAAATGCTCCACTGATTGATAGTTGTTGGTGCAACAGTGATATATATATACACACATACACATATGCAACTAACTGTGTAACACTACTTATTGCGATATACTTACTTAGATATACGTACACCTAACCCACCCACCCCAAATCAATACTTTGACTATAATCATAGTGGTTCTTTTTGTCCACATCTTCATTTGTGCTTATTTCTCACCTTGACTTATTCTCTCTTAACATGAAAAATCAAAAATAATAATAATATTAATAAGAATAATAATATACAATTTCTCTTTGTCTCTCGACTTTTGCTTCATTTAAATGAGATAGATGGACAACTGTAAATCCCATAGAAAGGAAATATTATTTTTATATCAATCTACCGTTAGTAGCATTGCTGTATGCGTTGATTTTGAGCACTGGTGACTAGGCATTTGTTTTGATGGATGGAGAATCCATCAGGATAAGCATTTCCTCCTGTTTGACAATCTTCAGTTGGATGTGTTTGTCTGACATTTAGTGCGTGATTTAAGACTTGAACCCTGCTGGCGTCGTTCCAAATGCCACTAGGCCGTATGAACTACCTCTTGTTGAAAAGGCGGTATTGGTTAGGAAAATGTCTAATAGTTTGTCTAAGTGATGCAATTGAAGCGTAATGCAATTTTTCTTAATTTTGATCTCTCATACGCTCTCTCTCCCCTTGTCTATTTGAACACGACCTGAAAAAACATTCGCACGTGTCTTTCTGCATGACTAATTCAACGAAGTTTCTTTAGTTATCAGTCCTATATCTCCTAATGTAATTTCAAAAGTATATATATATATATATCCGTGTATGTAGAGTATTCAGCTGACGAGTTCTACCGAAATTTGATGAATCCATCATGAAATCATCCTGCTTTATTAAACTTTATTGAATTGTTTTAAATTCGTATCGGGAAATAGACTGATAGATTGATTGCTTATTTCATTGCCCTACATTCCAATTGGAATATAAAGCTTCAAGCTAGAGCTTTGGAGTTTCAGTAGCATAGGCGTGTGTGTGGACTTGCCAGTTGCCTCACCTAGCACAACCTTCTCTCTTTATACTGGATTTACTATTACTGGCTAAGCGGCGTTTAGGAACCCGTCGGCTGAGGGTCGAAATCTGGACTAACTGACTGACTGGTTTCAACATAGAACTTCGCACCGATGTGCAGCAGCACTTCAAGTCACAACACTTCACTCAGCGCACAAAGCAAGAGAAGAAAGTGAAAGTAAATGCAAACTGGAGACAGTAAACAGAGATATGAGGCAAACAGAATAGTTGTAATACGGAAGACCGATATAGTTTTATTGGACATTATAAGTCACAAGGAGTGGATGCATCTGCACCAGCCATTGAGAGCGATTTTGAGCCATGTCACCAGTTGTCTCCGGCCATTGGTATTTACCGTCCCGAGGACCCCAACCAGGAAGTCTACATCTTCCTACGTGACTTAAACTAACTGTTGTTGATTTCATTGACTGATGAAGCCATGTTTTGGTTTGACCACCACTGGATCTTTTCCAACCTGATCCTATGTCAGCCAACATTGGTCGTGGATTGAGGAAGGCGATGGATAGGCATGCGTAACACATGCCCTAACCATCTCAGTCGAAGTGACTTCACAGCCTCCTCTATTGATTTCCCCTCCCACCTCCCTAGCACTCGACAGATGCCTAACCTCAATATTGCTCACCCTATTATACCGCTTCACACGGGAGATAGAAGGCAGGCACCTATGATCAAAGACAGCTAACCAGCCTTTTCATGTCCTCCACCGTCAATGACCAGGTCTCACAGCCTTAAAGGAGGACGGAGTGGACTGCTGAGCAGTACACACGTTGTTTGGTTGATAGCCAGCCGGATATCACGTCTACTCCAGAGACGGCGTAGGAATCAATCGTTTCTATATTTAAAACAACAGTACACCTGTTAACAGGAATAATTTGGAGGTTGTACAACCACGAAGTCTCCAGGTTGAATTTTTAAGATGAAAAAGGGCAGCTCTTTTTAATGAACACATTGGTGAGAATAATTCAACTATTTGAGTAGGCTGTTGTGCGAATTTCAATGTTTCAATACCTGATTTAATGTGTACACAGACGAACTGGATTCAACGCCATTTTGCGCTTTTCCGTTGTGCTGTCAACATGCACATTCCTTGAGTTTGTAATAAAGTTATGTCCGCTAGATAAGTCCCGGAAGTTTTTCCTTATATACTTTTTACCTTTTATTTCACCCAAATATACGGCTTTTTAGTATTTTTTAATATATTTATGCGTTGAAGTTTCTGTGGCAATTTGGTTAAGTTTTGGGGGTGGAGTTGCTAGCACGACGTCCCAACCCTCCCTCTTTATCCGGGCTTGAGAGCGGCTAGAAAACTAGCGAGTTAGTAATCTATGCGAGGTGGAACGTCCAAGGGTGACATGGAGGATATCGTGCGAAAGGGAGTTGAAACAGTATGGATTAACATGGATGCAGGTGAAAAGTACAGTAGAAGACAGAAGCAAGTGGAGACGTGTAGTTGAAGCCCTATGTTCCACTAGGAACCCAAGGGAATAATAATAATAATAAAATATACGGCTTTCAATGGCATATTTCCTTAATAACTAAGAAGTTTTAGATTTGCGTTTGTCTTCAGCACTTACACGTTAGGTAGAACACCGGATTATTGGATAACTACGTTACGCTAAATTACTGAAAACAAGACGCGTAGCTCAGCCAAGAGTCTCTTCTCTGCGAATTCATTCACACTTAGCTGTGCAATCACAAATATATATATGGATTATTTTGTATGTATACGCACATTAAGTTTGTCAAACAAAAATACAACTTTTTACCAATCAAGTGGTTATTTTATTTAATCATTTTTACGTATAGGTGAGGGTGAAATTAAGAAGTTATTGGTCGTCAAAACAAATAACTAATTAATAGATGTTAGTAACAAGATATCTAAGTTTTAAAAGAGGGGTGAAAATTAATCACGAAATTCAAGATAAGTTGATTCTTAGGCGTTGGCAACAAGTTATTACATAATCAAGAATTTTGTAAAATAGCAGTGATGACTAAGAAGAATACGATGGCTCAGGAGAGTTACGTAAAATACAAATAATCGAGTTAATAGAATTAGCTAGAATTGTAAAAATTAACAAGGTCAAAAGGTAGTTACAAGGGAAGGGAAAATGTCTTTTTTAAAAACTTAAAACATATTATGTAGTTGGCCATTGCAGAGAAAGGGGTTGTACAAATTTCTTTTTAACCAACACATAGATTTGGCTTGTTCAGATGAATTCCGATTGCCTCTGCTGTCTGTGTAAAAGTCGTACTCGTAGACCATACGACAGGTTGAGTGATATACGACAAATAACCTTAAAAAGCTTTGTTAGAGTCGATTTGATGCCCATTTTCGACGAGATGAGCTAGTATTGAGCTGCGTATACCTTTGTTCGGAAGTTTGCAGAGGTGGAGCCAGGTGGAAACGTTAGCAGAGAACCGAACGCAATAGAGACATGCGGTTGAAGCCCTCTAGGAACTAAAGGAAACAATAATAATATAATATTGCCAAAATAAGATGGGAGGTGTTCAAAAATTCGACGATGAACTTACCTGATCGTACGCCCTATGTAACTAGCTCCGTACGGGCAGTTAGACTGGTTAATACACATGGAAGAATCGAAACAGGGCAGTCTGTCTTTAGTTCTTGAACTAAATATTGGTCAGCTAGTGAATATACAGCATAGCTTAACTGCGTAGGAAGTCCTTTTGAAGGCCCTTCTCAGACGTTGTGATGAGATCTCACTACTGACATCGCCCGTGAATTATAACTTTAGGAAGATTGACTTTTTGGGGACAGTTGGCAACTTCGACTTTTTACTTTCTGAGTTCATGTATTTGTTCACGAATTTAGATGGACATTAGTGTCTACTTAGTAGATCGCAAATATTACCGAGTTCTTCGTTCAGTGTCTCATTTGAAAAGATAACTTTAGCCCGCTGAACCGGACACCTAACTAGATTAAGTGTGTGTTGTAGAGGTACAAAGCTCAGGAAGTGAGTATATTGTCTAGTGAAGTAGGTTTTCTATACAAATGTCTACATATTGTTCCGTCTGTTCGTTTAGTCATTAGGACGTCCAAAAAGGGGATAGAGTCATTTTCTTATTCTTCTTCTTTAGTGAAGCTTATACTGGGATGTGCTTTACTGAATTTATCCAACATGTCCTAGGCCTCACTTTCTTTCTCAATAACTATAAGTGTTTCATCAACATATCGGAAATAGAAATGAAGATTATATATATTACACCTTTAAGTGGACCATTCTCTAGTTTCTCCAGGAAAAAAAATCTGCTAGGTTTGGGCCTAGTGGTGATCTCATGGCAACACCAACTGATTGCATATATATATTTCTTTGTTGAACAGGAAATTCACGTTCATTATACACCTTAAAAGAAGTTCCTTTAGGGAAGACACAGGAATTCCTATCTCTATACCTTGCTTTATCAATCCATTACCTATGTAATCAATTGTTTCCATCAAGGGCACATTGGTTAATAAGGAAGATGCATCCAGTGATATCATATATTAGTCCGTCACATTTAATTCCTTGATTCTTTCTACAAACTCAAAACTATCTTTTACGCTATTTGTCACAAGTTTCTTATGCAACAGTTGAGTGGTATGGCGAGCTAGACATATCGAAGACTGGTCTAAGTGGTAAGCCGTTCCTGTGAATCTTTGGTAAGCCGCACAACCTGGGTACCATCGTGCCTCCAGGTTTCAGTGTCTCATACAAGGCAACTGAAATTTGGCCTTGTTACATCCCTATTCCCCAGCAGTACAGCTTCGCCCACAGATCCCTAGCATAGTGTAAGAAAACCTTACACTATGCCGGTAACCCCTTTTAGTCTAATTGCTATCCTAACAATCTTCCTGTCATCGTGGGAACTGCAGGAACATTAGTTCCAGCCAGTGTAACTTGTTGGGTTAGTGCGATATGCAAGCCCGATCACCATGTCAAGGAAACAACTATCGGCCGGATGTTTGTTTGCCTGACTTGAAATTCACACACTTTTCAGTATAACATCTGGAATGCATTCGATATCATTTTTCCAGGCGGTGCAGAAGCTTCTGCTACAAAACGTGAGAACTCACCAGAACTAGTCTCATCATCAGAGGTGTTCCACACATAGCTTCCATGTCTCCATGAACAGTCGTCTCGAGACTCGTCCGTTTCCGTCGAAATATCCTCTGGGCTGTTTTGAGAGCCCGAAGGACCT